ACCGGAATCGCTTGAGGAAATGGGTGGAGCCTAGTGTGCTCCTGCTTTGTTGGAATGAAAACATGCAGCCACACAGGACCTGTATAGCACCCCTGCAATTTTAGTGCATTTTTCACAGACCAAGCTCACTGTAGTGTCAAAAATGTGGTTATTTGATTGTTTTAGATCAATAACATGAGGTATGTAAAATATGAAGTTCAATTGTCTGTTATAAAGCCCAAAATAGGCTCAATGTTCTGTATTTTGACACAAACTTTATTTCAGACTTACATAGGTTTGGTTTCACCATGAAGAGCTTGATAAGAAATCTGATCAATCTCTTATCTTCTCACCAATCTCTAAACTCTCTCCTCTCCTCTCACACCCTCCTCCCTTTTCTTCCTGGATGTTAAAAAGCTGTGATCTGCTGTTGTACTGGGCAGAAGAACCAAGCAGACCTCCTCTCTGGTTTCCTAACGGCTTCTGCCACAGCAGCATGTCTTCGTTACGTAAATAAATCCCACATCAATCAGACACAAGTTTGCATCAGATCATTAAAAAAATTGCAATGATAGTCACACAAAGAGTTACGATGTATTTGGAGTACTTTTTTAAGGATGAACAGTTAAGGATGTCTCTGTACACAAGTACAAACATTTGCTGAAAAATAATAATCGTATTTCATGTGCCAATGTATAAAAAAATAAATAAAAAAATACATTGATGGATTTTTTCATTTGATCGAAGGAGAAATCCAGATCAATATCTAAAGGTGTTTTGTGAATGTTATATATTATGACCTTTATGCACCGTCCTAAAAATCTCACCTGACACTGTGTTACAACACAACTTGGCTCTTGGGTGTAACCAAAGATGCACTAAAAAAAAAAAAAATGTCGATTATAAAAGAGTTTATTATGAATGAAAGCAAAGTAAACTGATCTCAAAAGGTGTGGGCGCTCATGTGCAGGGCTGGGAGTGAATTGAGCCAGCAGGAGACAATGTGGGTCTTTAATATATATATTTAATATATTAATATTATGTGCAGTGCTCAGACCGAGATGCACGTACGGCCAATGCCACTCCCCAGCAACACCTGTAGAGAACAGAAAATATATACATGTCCACAAGAGGGCAGCCAAGACGGCGCCATGACACTGTAATAGGAATGCATTGATAGTGCATCGTTGCCATGAATAAGATTTGGAAAGCAAAAAGTGAAAGAGAGAACAGAATAAAGTTTTGCATATTCAGTTTTGGATCATTTTCTATTTTTTGTTGGGAGAAAAACATTGCAAGATTGTAATGAGTCCTTTGTGTAAATTATAGACTGCAGAAGGTAAAAGAACAGTGACAGAATCAGGGCACAATGCAGCGGTACCAACTTTCCTTGCATTTCAGCAGCAAATAGGACGTACAACTCTCGTGTCAAAGGACCTGTGACGAGTTTATTTAAAGGTGCACAATGTCACGTTTCTGCTTTGGGCTTTGCTCGTCTCTCCCTGAAGAAACCGACATTTGCAGTCATAGACAAATGTTCTCTTGCCTCCGAAAATGTTGTTTGTCTGTCTTTCTGCATAGATAACCCCGACTTGACTGTTACGAACCACAGGGGGTAGTGTCTAGGCGTGTGGCTCAATAACTAAAATAACTGGGCGTGGAACAGAGACAGGAAGCAGTGGCCCAATAATTAACAAAAGTTGATTCTGCACAAGAATATAAATGTGCATTGGAACGATTATTCAAAGCACAAGCACTCTGAAAAGGTGAGGGGCAGCAGCAGGACCCACTCAGCCAATGGAGGTCGAAATGGAGAGTGAGAGAGAGCCTGAACCAGTGAAAGCGGGTCCCAGCTCAAAAAGGACCATAAGTGCGCTGACATGCGTGTAATCTCACTTCTAGCCGGTGGGGGTGTAACCAGACAGAGAATTACCCAATTCTTTTGTACAGCGTCTTCATTCCTCTCAAAAACGGCTTTACAGGATGGTCCAAAAGTCTGCTCTTGGCCCAACGCTACATGTGTGTCAATGCTCAGGGGAGTACTTTTTTCCGGACTCGTCAGATGAATGGGGCTCGTGCCAACTATGCCGCATGCAAAAATGTGTTTTTTTCATATTTTCCTGCCCTGGGGCCATTTTGAAACTGCCCACAGAAGGCGAAAGTGGTGGCACATTAGTTTCAACAGTTTAAATTTTTACAGCCTATGGTCTGGACCCATGCCCTTTATACCTCCCGTCAGTCCGCTGGAGGTGGGAGGATCTGGATAGGTGGAGGCAAGGAGGAATACAACTACAAATACCAAAGGACTTGGTCGGTAACATTGACTCGTCTCAAGAACCTGTTTTCTTTCTGGCACAGCTGATGTCTTTTGAAGATTGTTCTAAAGTTAAATAGTTATTAATTTTTCCAAAAGTGATGTTCTACTCCACTGAAATGGTTGCTTTTTTACCACCAAACCACTCAACGTCCATCCTGGGCCCGGATCTGGATCTTGGAAGTGATTGTTGCGAGTGTTCCAACCAATCCAATTATGTGAGTTGGGGGAAAATGTGTAGTGTGTTTACTGTATGTTTTCTTAATTATTAAATGCACTGACAACAGAACATTGGTATACTTACATTGTAGCTGATGCTTTAAAGTTAAATTCAAAAGTGTAGTTTTGTGGCTTTTTTGTGAGAGTATAGAGAGGGAATGGTTTTCAGAAGCAGAGGTTGGCCTGTGCAGTCAGCAGAAACTCGACGGGTCATGAATTCTGTGCTCCATCGCGACCAGAATATGAAAAAGACTGGTGAAGGATACCATTTTTTGATGAAAAACGTAGGAAAAAAAGGTCAAACATTTAGCAGTTTTGCCATTGGCATCTCTTCAATTCCAACCACAACCAACTGATAATGCATATAAGATGTACTCACACTCATAAGAGTTAGAAACGAAAAGGATTTTTTTTTTTTTAAACCCTCTGCTGGATCATGAAGCATTCCTTGAAACAGGTCTGGGCCCCCCTGCAGGGTATCTTTCCGAAGCACTTCAAGTTGCCGACATTACAGGAAATTGAGAATTGAATACAATATTTTACATTTTTATTTTACTGCCTATCTCCATCATCAATCCCGCTTTCCACTTGTGGTCATCTTATGAGCTGAGACTTTAATTCTCAAAGAAGCATTTAAAACACTGTCCATACTGGAACCCAAATCGTACTGGTGTCTCCTTCCAAGTTCGAGGGCTGTAGGCCAAACTAGGCTTGCAGTGTATCCCTAAGGACAATGTTCAAATGTAAAGTAATGTAATGAACCATTATGTACAACACCATAGGACATTACTACACAAAACACAAATAGATCCAATTGAAGTTAAAAGGTAAAAATAAAACAAATACTCCGTTAGTTCCAATGTGTTCATACCTCTCATTAATGTAAGTCAATGCTGCCATCTGGTGGTATGAAGAGGACCTTCATGCACTTTGTGATCTGTTGTGGCTGGAAAATATAGCCACTTCGTTCAGAATAACTCTCAAATTGATGAATACCAAAAGTTAAAGGCACTAAGAAGCCTGTCTGGGTAAACACAAACGATCTTTCTCTCGAATGCTGAGTCAATAGAGTCCAGTTTTATATCATGATTTTATTGGTATAGTTTGACTTTTCAGATAAAAGCAGATAGAGTAGAGCATAATAATCAGAAAGAGTCTTTGGGCTCGTGTCCAAAGTCTCACATGAGAACTATCATTCATCCAGGGGAGACCCTCGTCACAATGCTACATACTGTCCATGTCATGGTGTGTTACAGTAAATACAGTAACATGACGGAGGTGAGTCTGAGGTAAGCTAGAGTTGGCTAGTGTTGTACTGAGTATTAACATCTACAGGATCCTCTTGTACATATGGTCAGACTGGAGTCTGAAGCTTGTCTCTACCTTGGCATAGCTTTGGCATTAAGAGGTAACATGGCTACACCCACAGGGGGCTTCACAATGAAAGCATACGTGTTCATTACATGAACTCAGGGAGTAGCTCCGAAGGCCTTGGGCCAAATAATCAATACAGGGGAATACGTAACAGTAAAAACAAAACATTTAGTTCAAGTTTGACCAAATACTTATTTGACAGATCAATTAAAAATGAGGCCCACAGAGGGGACACTCTGGATTCTGTGCAGTGCAAGTCGTGCGCTGAACCATTATAGTGAAACCACTCAAGTGCTGTAAAGCTTTGCAGTCAATCATTAGAGCTTGAAGCTTTAGCTTATTTTGATCACATCATAACACCAACATTAAGGTGCATCTTGTCCGAAGCACCTGGATCACATTTATTTGTAGTATTTTTCAAACACTAAAGTAAGAAATATCTGAGTTAAGCATGTTCGGCTGTGCCTGAAATAAAATGAAAGCTATTCACAAGCGGACAAATATTGCATTCAGTCATAAATTGATCAAATACTCTGAGGCTTGTTCTGCTCATACAAAGAGGTATAAATAAGATACTGAATATTCTAGTTTGGTTAAACAAAAGTACATAGAAGCACATATGTCCTGCTCTGATCCACTGTTACCTGAGATTCCAGCAGACCCTCAGGACTCGATCAGTGGTGAGTATCACCAGAGTCACACACAATCCCACACGTTATCTCCCTGTCATCAGAGCACCTGACCTGCAGGCTCAGCCAACAGTCACTGTGGAAAACTCAGGAAGCTTTTAGAAAAGGAAAGTTAGCTTAGAATGGGTGAGGTGTCTTTACATAATCGTCCCAATAGGATTTTAGGCTGATTAATACCATCTTGAACTGCATTATATGCCAATATAGATATACATTTATACTGTATATTGCCGTAAATATAAGCAGGATTACTGTTGATAAATACGGAGGCCTCTTCTCCAGCAGGGGCCCCCCAGCAAGCTTCAGCACCCGTCTCCCTTTGATTATAGGGTGTCACCGCACCCACAAGGCTGTTAGTGGCTGGGCACATCTAGTTTTCTTGTTACATTTGTTGAAAGATGATTGTGCCAATCCACCATCTTGTGTCACTCATCCTCCACCGTGGTCTCCCTTTTGGGGTGGTCCTCTTTCTGCTCCTGAGCCTGAGAGGCGGGGCTTGGCAGAGAGGCAGCCTCCGTCCCAGTGAGTGCAGAGTCCGGTTGGTCCCCCATCCTCTGGACGGAGCCGTCCGCCTGTGGAACGTGAACACCAACACGGACAGACAAAAGCAGTGAGGAAATTATATTTCTCTGGTAATAGTTTCACAATGGTGGACTTCATTTATAAACAACATAGACAGGAATAAAAAGTTTGTTTTGCATAGAGCTTTTCTGGACACTCAGGGATGCATTATTCATTTGCTTCATACATATTGGTGGAAAGCTTCTACAGTGGCCAGAGTCGTGCTGTGGTGGTTCCAAAATGTCCCCACTGTGGCATGAATGCATTTATCTTGTCTAATCTTATTTTATCTTATAAATTTCTGACAAGAGGCATCAACAAGCAGGTAGGCCCGTCAAAATATTGATATTTCTTGGTTAAAAGTTGTTCTATCACACTGTGTCACTGACAGTTCCGAGGTAAAAACACTAACGTTAATTTAAAAACTTACATGAATGATTTGCTCTGCGAAGCGGTGGTTCACCTGATCAGCAAACTCGTGCATCTCCACCTCCTCTCCATTAGAATGGCAGCTGGGACTTGGCACCTCAATTCCATGACTTTCCAAAATGGCAGCTTCTAGTTGTATTAGACAACAACAATACAATGATAATATATTATACACAAAAACACTGTAAAAAACATATGTAGACCTTTATTTGAAAATACTCACCAATATTGGCTCTCCTCTTCATCTCCTTTCGACGGTTGGCGAACCAGTTGTAAACCTTTAGTGCAGTCACACGTTCAAACTCAGACAGCTTACAACCTTGGAATATTAAAATCCAATTTACTCTTACAATAAAAACGTCCTCGCATCGTCATTACTTATCATAAAACTAGTATCGAAATTCACTCTGCATTGGATGGCACAAAGCACTTATTTTTACCTTTAAATAAACATCAAAAACATCATCTTTTATCGCCTTTGAAATGCAAAGACGCAAAAAGATTCAGGATAGCGACATAGCATGGAACGTCAGATAAGAGAACATTGTACAGACCGCATTGAAATACAAATTAAAACCGATTTGCATAATCTCAGCGATCATGTCACAACAACCTGTCCATTACGCGAAAGAATCAAAGAAAACATGAAATAAAATCATCAAATAGAGATGTTGCATTGTTTTCTTGTGCATAAACCTCCATTATATCGGTTCGTTATAAAGCAATGGCAAAAATATAGAGGCAGACATTTAAAAAAAAAAATGGAGAAAGACTAGAGGAAGGTGAATGTTCGCTTTCCAATCGGCCCGTACCTGGTTTTTGGATGACGGAATTACAGGTGTTGGCGATCTCCTCACGCTTGGCCTCGTCTGGGTACTGATTCTCGATGAAGAAACTGGAAAAACCAAGCCCAGAGGTGTAAATACCAGCGCATCATTGGCTGTGCATGGAATTTGCACCGTGCACTGATCGAGGACGTTTTATGACAGCCTTATTTTACACCTCATTACCTTGTGAAGTACAGAGGGGAGCCACAACATAATCTCTACGCTTAAAACCAGATTACCAAATGGATGAATGCGTAGATTAGACATGTCATTAGGTTTTAAAGAAGACATAATGGAAAAATCTACTTGAGTTTTTTAACCATGTCGCAACATTGTTACTTGTTACGCAACATCTAAATACATTGTTGTATTTAGATGTCCATGTTGTAACGTCTTGCACAAATAGTAGGATGTCTGTGTAGTGCCCATTTATTAGTGTTGCCAATTTCTCACGTGAAATTATATCACGAATACATAATGGCTCTTGTGCCTGCATATGAGTCCTTAATAAAGTAAAGAAAAAAAAATGTAATATATCATGCAATGGCTGTGTTTGTAGTCAATATTTTTCACATTTGGATAAAAACAAAGCCTATTCTACACCCCCCCTGGTGGTCACAGAGGGATAGTGCAGGCCAATTGCTTTATTTACCCTTCGTACATGTTTTGCAATACATTTTTTATTGAAAATTAGAGAATTAAAGATATTATTTCACACTCTATAAAGCATGAAATAAAAAATAAATGGTCTCATTATAATTTATAACAGCTAAAACATAATGCTTAATTTTGTTCTTTAAGTGGGAAGGACAATGCCTAAACAGCGATGAAGGAGCAGCCGTTTTCGAGCCGCTCTGGACTATCTTTCAGGGCTAAAAAAAGGCAGATTTGCTCGCATTACAAAACACACCGGGATCAATTTCTCAGTGCCTCTTCACCCAGCGCGTCGCCCTTTCCTGTCCACACCATCTTAACCTCCGCCGTCCCCGTCCTTGGGTTTAAACCGGCCCCGTAAGGATTGGCACTGCAGTGGAGTTGCGTAATCCTGGGGAGTGAGATCGCCGGAGAGAGTGTTGTCGTCTGCAGCCCTTATTATTGTGAGTGCTCCTTGTACTTACAGCAGGTGTGTAAAAGAGAAATCAATTGGACACAGAGGGGAAGAGGCTGCGGAGGAATGTCTGTGTTCTGTAAAGCGGCTCACACCACTTCTGTCTGCTGTAGATAGTGTTGTACAGGCAGAGCAGCTGTAATTAACTTGAACGCAGCGAGACTATGGCTTTAAATGACTGGGGAGAAGACTAAAGGACACTGCACCTGGGACGCTTATTAAAACTGGCAATGGTATGTTTTATAGAGCTGGGCTGCTCTTGGGTGGCACAAAACAACAGAATCCATACTGGTTGTGGAAGAAGAGTGTACAAACTTGTGAACAGCGATTCTTTTGTTTTTTTTACTTTATATTGCAAATTGACAATAGTAGCTGGTCTGGGATTCATTCAATGCAATTACATTTATTTGAGTTTTTGAACTCAGTGGGAAAAAAGTGAGAAATGTTGGGGAGGTCCACAAAGGAAAGGGATCCACTCCCACCGACAGACAGGCGAGAACTGAGGCTTGTTATATTGAAACTGGGGTATCAAACTTTCAAATCTCAAACATTGGAACTATATCACAAAAACCATCTAACAAGTTCCTTGCTCTCATCGCTAGTTTTGACATATGTGTATTTTTTGCCTCTGTCATATCTTCAGATCAGCTTTTTCCAACAGAAAAGTAAAAAAAAGAAGAAGTATGCACAAGATTTGCCATGTTTTCTATTAAGATAAAAGCAACCTTCTGTGGTATTATTTGTTCATGATGTTTTATGTTTGCAAGACCTTTTTTTCTGTTGGGACAAACAACAAGGATTAATTATGACTAAAAAAGTTGGGTACCCCAGTTTTAAATGGTCTTTACTGACTTAGAACCACAATGTGTTTCCCAGTATCAAAGACATTTAAAAATGCAACACTGGTTAAATGGTTCATTAGTATAAAACAAGTGGAAGACAGTAGTTGACATATACCGTACCTCTCCATAATGGATTGGCACTCTTTTCTCCAGGTGAACCTGCTCCCTCTGCGCAGCCTGAGGGGACCGCCCACTATCCCGTTCCTCTCCCCAGTCATGATGCCTGACCTCCAGTCGGGCTCCTCTTTCACCATAGAGCGCATGGATAAGGTGGCCCCTGAAATAGACACAAAAATCAATCATTGTTAGCATTAAATGAGTAGAACATGGCAAATCATGGGCTCCTAGTAAGACAGTTGTAGGTCACAGGTCTCCAAACGTTTTGTCTTAAAGCTGTGGTACCTAACTTTTGATCATAAATAATACATTGTGTTTGGCCCAATAAAAGATCAGAACACAACATGCTTTTGTATACAGTGAGTAAACACTCAGAGGCCAATAATACATGCTTGTGATAGAATCAAACTGTTTTGAGAGAAACTAGTGGACAGCAGTTAAATTAAAGTTCGGCGCCGCATACATTTGGCCTCACGTCGACTGAGAAACTGTATCTGAGTGTAACTGTTAAATTGATCTACGTTTAAATTCACCCTCCCAAGTGTCCCCATCTTTCTGGTTGGGAAACTACTACTGAAATGCAAAGTTATTAGTTTTGGGAACTGGCAAACTATTTAAAAAGTCCTCAACGCTGTAGAGAACATATGATCTTGTAAGGAGCCCAGAGAGCCACTATTTGACACCTTAAGCTGAGAGATGAATGGCTGATTGAGGGTGGTCCTCTTTACATGCATGTGAAAACTGAACCAAACTTATTTGAGAGCAAGGCATCTGGAACCTTCTTTCTTACAGAGTTCATTTGAACATAGATAATTAACACAATCAGGTGATAAGATATGAACTAGAATGTATTGTGTTCCGAACAATGACACGTCCAGGGCTCCCATGCACACTGCTGCGGCTCTGTTACCTGTGTGAGTCTGTGAGGCAGCAGCAGCAGTGTACCAGGGCAGCAGGTGCATCAGCAGCTCCCTCTGCCTGCTCCACACCGGGGTGGCGTTGGGGTTCAGGGTGGTGTTGGGGTTGGGGAGGAGCTGGGGGGTGCTGTCTCCTCCCCTGCCCCTGGCCGTGGGACTCACGCTGTGCTGGTTTTCACTCCATCTCAGCCCTTTTGGACAAAACCCAACAGTCAGGCCTAGACTTATTGGAAGTTTGTGATGAATTGTGGTTAAATCAAAGAAATTGATATAACAAACTCCCGTAGACCATCACTAGGTAACATTTGATCATGTTATTGTGGCCAATTAGTTAGTTAGAAAGCAAAGCATGTGGTCGCTTTGGAAAGCCGTTGTTAGTATTGAAGCCTAATTGTTAGCCATGTAGGAATGAAAACCAGCTCAGGAGCACCTCCCAGCCTTAGACATAACTGCTGATGTTTTTGAAAAGCTAGAGCAAAGCTTGTGTGGGGGCAGAGCAAAAATAAAAATAAAGATGAAAGGAGCATAGTAGGCAGTCCATCGGCAGGTTTGAATATGAATCACTGTGTACCAACCAACAGAAATGTAGTTTATTTTGGCATTTTACGTAAACCAGTTAATTTGAAATTGTATTCAATAGGTTGCGATCCTGTTCCAGAATTCTATTTCAGTTGGAGGACAGGTGCTAATACAACTCTATAGCGATGAAAGAGTTTTTGAAAATAAATGTATGAATATAAATAATGTCCCAATATTATCTCAGCTCATTTTTGATAGTAATGGTGGGATTTACAAACCCACCATTTCATTTTTGTCTGAAAGTCCTTTCTACTCGTCAACATGGAAGTGATGATAATAATCAATAAAATATGCATGATATTTTTTTGATTATTATCATCACTTCTATACACCTTCATGTGAAAATAATTAGACAATAATTGATCATGTACTGACCAAGAAGCTGAGGAACTCTGTGACAATGTTTCATGTGGATTGGTCCAGGAATCACAGAGAAATAACCCTAAATTTAGATTTTTCTGCTGTCCTTAAACACAATTTTAAACTAATATTGAGATGTCATACAAACACAACATATTCCTCAATGGCATTGGTTACTTAAACGCAAAATGTAGCTAGAAAACTAACTTGACAAAAATGATCAATGTCATCTGCTTTTACTGTGCCAACCTCGCACTGTTACTGAAGCCGGCAATGTCAAACCGCATTCATTTGCCTTTAGTCCCTCGAACCCCATATCCAGTGACTGAACTACTTTCCCCCCCCCCCCTTTATTCTTGTGAAATGATAGATCTCCCCCAGAGTCCTTTGCTTGCCCTCAGTCCGCATGATCAGATGGAGTGAGCCCAGTGAGTGAGGCGGGGTGGTGCACCATGCAGGAGGTATGGATAAAACAAGTGCTAATGCGAAGGGCGAGTCAAGCAAGCTGCGGTTCACGGAAAACACAGGCGTTTTTTCCCAAACCTATCTTTAACCTTGTGCTCTTAATGCGTTTCCCGCAGTCACTGTCGGCCTCATCTCCCCGGTAGCATTCATCATCCATGTTATCTGATCTTACAGTGGGCCTGGCAGTGTAGCGCTCGGGTGCCCTCCTCACCTGGGTTGTTCCTCTCCAGCAGGTACCAGCGGTAAAAGGCTCTGCGCTTGGAGTCGCTCATCTCCAGGCCCTGCTGCAGAAGCCACTGAGAGATGTAACTCTGGCTGATGCCTGGTGAGTAGACAAAAAACATTAGAGGTTGTGGGATGGATAGTAAAATAATACAAACAGTAAAAAACATTCAATCTATGAATCACATTTATTGCAGCGTACAGTTGCTGTTTTAAAAGTCCAGCCACTTTGCCCAGTGCCTTTTCTCCAGTTCTTCCTGTAGTCTCAAAGAGTAGGTCATCCGCTCCATCATTTTAAGATTTTCCACAATTGAAATAAAAAGATTTACAGTGTGTGGATGTTTCTGCAACCAGTTTTTTGTTATGGTCTTCTTGGCTACTGCCAGCTGGATTTTCAAACATTCAGGAATAAAGATCTTATGCAGGGACATATTTGTATAGCCTGTGTATACTGTAGGCATGGATGACACAATAATAATCATATCCACTCCTCATTCAATAGTTGATTGATGGTAGAATATAATTTGGTGCACCACATTTATGGCAATTGTATGTGTGTGTGTTTTCTAGAAAATTATGGCTTAATTGAATAATCATCTTTGAATGATAAAGACAAATGCTGCTGTAGTGAAGGCTCAGACTGGAAGACTAAATATCTGCTGTGGTCACTATTTATTTTATTTATTTATTCAAGCAGGGACAGTACATATTAATGAACATATAGAAATATGTAAATATGTCGGATTTTAGCCATAGGCTAATTTCCATGCCTCCTCTTCACTTCAGTCCGCCCACTACTACACAACTGTGCCTGCGCTAAACAGCATCTGCTTTCTTTTACTGATTTCAAACCTCTTCAGCCTCTTCAAGATTTTTCATTGTTTTCTTTTAATGTACTAACACAAAGTATAAAAAATGTGGGTTTATCGAGTGATAAAGGACTGTGTTTGTAGTGTGCTGGGATTATAATTCCTTTGTAGTTGACACAGTACTATAAAGTCTTTTGAATATTTTCCTCTTTCACAGTATATGAGGTGTAATGGTTACAGGCCTCTGCAGTGGCTAATACAGTTCCAGGTTGGGTTGCAGGATTCAACCAACTGCCACTATACAAATCAGTCATCCTCAGAAAACATTCTCAAACCCCATGCATTGTCTGCACTTGCTGCCTTTGCACATAAATCTACATGTATGTCAGTACAGTGATTCTCAAAGCAGGATCTGGGACCTGGGGCTGTGCTTCAGAGGCACTGAAGAAGAAGAAGAAGAAGAAGGGGCAAAAGGTGGTCCACAACAGTCAACAAGTAAGATCTACACATATTTGATTGTAAAGCAATGATCTCAGTAGTTTTTGTGTTACCACTTTAATCATATATGATTTCGAGTGTCTTTTTTGGGAATTTAGAAATCATACAATTATTAATATGAAATGTGATTTGAGGCTTAGAAGGTTATTTAAAATGTCAACAAATTTAAAGAAGCTAATAATTCTAATTACCAGTATTGTTTCTCTCATTAAAATAACGTTCTAAGCCTTAAAACATTTAATGATGTGATTTAAAAAGTATGTGCATTTGATTGTCTTCACTATATGTAGCACAGGATATTGAGGGCCCCTGAAAGATAAGTTTAGATAAGGAGGCTGAGATGCTCCAAACTTTGTAAACCTCTGCTCTGTGGAATGCATTCTTTCTTCTTTTTTTTCTCGATTTATTCATTTTATGGGGTGAAATTAGATTAGGGCATCCTACAACAAACGCTGCAGTATAAAAACAGGATAATATCTAAGTCAATCTGCGGCAGAAGAAGCCCAGTTAATCGCATTAGAGAACATCACAATGTAAAAGAATGGAAAGATTAGAAAAGTGGAGCTATGTATTCAGTTCATCTCCCTCTGTCTCTGAAATGTGAACACACTGTATTCAATTTGAGGCCAAGCTGTTCTCTGGCTAAAACATTGTAACGTGAAAAATCCTTACTCGCATTTTAACATGTTAGGACAATGCGGTGCTTGTTTTCTTACCGGTCACTTGTCCGACTATTGCCTGAGAGATTCTGCGGTTGTTGAGGAAAGCTTTGATCTCCTCTTTCACCAGGTTGCTGTCCCTTCTGTCCGACAAGCACAACACAGACATTACGCTACAGCAGCACTCCTCCGCTCCTGTTAACCTTATTCACTGATGCCTCCTGTGTCTTTTCCAATCCCCAAGCACTCAACCTGAATTACCTCGCTAACAATCCCACGCCGCTAGAGACATTTACCATCATTAGCTGCTTTTCTATTGCTCTCATTCGGTCTTTTACTAGAGCAGCGAGATTTATCGCACTCAAATCTGAATAGATGAAATTAGCTAATTGCCAGGACTAGAATTGTGCATCTGAATGTATTAGTCTGCTATAAAACCCTCAACAGATTGTGTAGTGTACAAGATCTGCTCCTCCAGTTGTCTGAATCTCAAGAAATCTCAAGCAAAAATATCCATACATCCATCCATTTTCTTCCCCTTAATCCATTTCTGGGTTGGGGGGGTGTCAGTCAGAGCTGCACCTAGTTCACAGAGCACCATCCCCACATAAACAAGACTTACATCAGTACCAGTGAACACAAAAAGTCAAATGTGTTGCCACTAAATTGGATAATTTTAGCAAAAAATAATAAAACTATAATTGTTTTGACTTTTTAAAGTCAGAAGCTGAGTCTTGTCCAAGTAAACTTTTGTCAGTAATGCAGACCACATCTTTTGCATACTGGTAAAGAACAGCCTTGTGAGTTATTATTTGATGCCTTGGGCTGGAAGCTGATTGTCTGAATGAGGGTGGTCCTTTCTTTTTCCCTTTTCTGTCTGAAAAAGCTGATCTCAAGATGTGACAGTGGCAATTACATGCATGTGCAGACTCATGATAGAACTAAAATGTTTGGAGAGCGAGGAATTAGTTATTATTATTTTTCCCTAATATGCTATTTTATCCTGCTTCTTTTTATGATAGATTTAAAGATTTAATGTTATTTAATTTCATTTTAGTATAGATTATTACATATTTATTTTGCGCTGTATACTCCCCATTCCTACGGTCTGGAATTTCCCCACTATAGGACAAATAAAGGATATCTTAATCTTAATCCTAAAACTAAGGACCCCAGTTTTACAGTACACCCAAGTCCAAATATATTAGCTAATTCAATCCATTCTGCCCATTGGTGTTCTGATTATGCACGTATTCTATCCATATTTCTGCTCTCAAATATCAATCCTCCATAAACTTTGATCGCTGTCAAAAGTTACAAAAAGTGCGAAACCCAGGCCCTCACCTCATATACTCCTCCACTTTCTCCTCCAGGTCCCACTCCTCCTCCCCCAACATATCGTAACTGAACGACCTCTGCACCGCCACCGTCGGGGGGTAGAGCGGCGGGGGCGAGGCTTCGTAACTGTTGCTCGGGGACAAGGCCGCTCCGTCCAGGCCCGAGGTTTGGGTGGTGGCGGAGGCCAGGGAGAGCGATGAGGCGGAGGAGGACGAGGACGTGGTGTGGCCGCTGCTGTTGTTGTTGTTGTTGTTGTTTTGGGAGGGGGCGGGGTTTGCGTCGCAGTGGGCGGGGCGTGTGTCCGGGTCCAGCCGCTCTAAAGACTCCAGGGCGTGGATGATCTGGGGCTTGGTCATGCCGGAGAGACGGAGGCGCTGCAGGAGGTCGATCTGTTCGATGGTGTAACGGGGTTCCACTTCACAGCATTCCATTGTGGTCTCTGCAAACGCAACATTAGCTTAGGACCGGTAAGAGCTGTAGTAGCGTACAAGCCCTCCTGTCCAACTTACTGTGGTTAGATTTTTAAGCCCAAAGTGGAATCTCATTTGATTTGTTTTTTTCTACTTTGTTTTGTTCATTACACTCGGGATCTGTAGTAATATTCTGAATATAAACCAGACTTACTGTATATCAGTGCCAGTGAACACAAAAAGTACAAAGTCTCCACTAAATTGGATACTTTAAATGTCCAAATATATATAGATAAAAAGGCATATCTAGTGCACACTGGGGTAGTCTTGCTCAGTTTTTCCAGTGTGGTTATACTGCAAATGGTAAATAAATGATTGTATCTTGTAACTAAATTATTACCAGGATGTAATTGCAGAGCCTTTGGTGACTATAGTTTCTTTCCGACAGTCCGCATTAGCATGTGTGTACAGACATCTACATTTAGTTCTTCATGTTTGCTTACAACCGGTCATTGAGTGGTACCATTAGTTATTGTCTATAGATTCTACACAGGTGTGAAGCAATTTTGTTTTAAGTATGGGTAGCTTTCTATCATTAGTTTCAAAATGTATTTTTTGGCATCTCAAAGTAATTTTTTACAGACATAAAAGTGAAAAAGAGAGGCCCACCCTCACTCAGCCAATCAGCTCTCAGCCCAAAGTGTCAAATAGTGACTCACAGGGCGTTTCTTCCTAATGCGATGATTTTTTCAAGTTTCTTTTAATTATTTGTGTATGTATTATTGCTGTTGAATGAAGGGATTGCAGGAGTGCTGCACTGGATCAAACAAAAGTAAAAACACTTACAGGTGCTCATCCGACTCCGAGAAAACTATAGCAATTGAAATAAATTGAGAAGGAGGCACTCTGAAAACTGTGTTCTTTATATAAATTGACCGACGCGTTTCGACAAAAAGACTTTATGTCGAAACGTTTTTATTGCTGTTATTATTGCTGTTTTTTTTCAAGCAATATTTGCGCTATATAATTGGATAAGTGACAGAGATAAACCTTGATACCACATGTAAAACTACTACTATAAATGCTCTGTACCCTTGTGGTGAATGCACCCTGAATGCTGATGTGGCGTTTGGATGTTAATTACGGTTATGTGTTAATAAAATAGGTTTATGGAACTCGCTGCATTCTCCTCTGACGAAGTTCATTTGAAATTCTGGCATCTGTTCAACCGCTTGGCACAAACTATAACCTTGCTCGATACGTCCTGGGTGAAATACAGACGGAGCAATGACACTAGCATATTAAAACTAAACCTTTGGCGAAAACCTCACACTTACTTTCCTATTTGTCTGAACTGGGGCCAAATCTGCCCAAAAAGTAGGTGTGTACCATCATGTTAATGGGGACTTACTACTTTTAGTTACATGATAGGGATTGTGAGAGCGATCTTTATCATGTTGCTCATCATTATTGTGATACATTTGTGTTGAATGTCCAGCGAAAAGAGATTTAGCAAACCGTCTAGTGACTGTTTTTATTTAAAAAACACATGTATTTCACATTAGGTGTGTGCAAGTTAGGATTAAATAAAGTAATACTGAAAAATATGATTGCATACATAGCAATGCATCATACAAAGTCCTGCGCATACATCATTTTTTTATATATTGCAAACACCAATAAATCAAATTGTTTGCCATTTAAGTATGGTACAAAATATTGAATCACAAAGGACAATTCCCATGCCTGTTTAAAAGTCACAGAACTTTTAAGTTGTTGAGCCTAGGAAATGTTAATCTAATCAACACTGTTACTATCAAACTAGGCCTCTGACTTGATGCCATCCACCCAAGGAATCTGAATTTCTCAAACCATGGCATAATAAGTAGGCATCGAAAATTACTAAGTGGGAGAGACATTCAATGAGTACCTCCTCTTGAGAAATCTGCTCTTTTAAAACACATGTGTAAGAAATCAGCGTCCCATCCAGGTACCTGCGGGAGGGGGAGATACGGAGAGGCAGCCCGGGAGTGGCTCGGAGCGTGGGGTCGCAACGGGGACGCTCCACTGTCGCATGGTTCAGCGGAGCGCGTCTCTCCGGACCTGCGCGGAGGGGAATAAAAAAAAAACAACAACAACACCCAGATCTTTAAAAAGCAGTGACAGGGCAGTGCCGATACATCACAAGGACGGTGGCAAAGTCTCATCGGCTCATCCCAGACAACAGCAGCCCGCACGGGATAGGCAGGCGCAACTCAAGCCGCAGATTCTGATGATGCGATGGGGAAGGCTGAGTCAAGCTGGACGTGAGAAGGCACGAAACCGGAAGTGGCAAGGGTACATTGTGACATAAAAAAGGACTCGCTGAAATTGTGGTATTTTGTACCAGGCAAAGAGATCTATTCAAAGTGTGTAGGTATTTATTTATTTAAATGTGCTAAGAGTCCAAATCTAAGTAAGGTTAAGGATGGGAACTGTTCATTTGGTTAAGGTTTGGGTGGGGAAAGATATGTTTTGTACCCATTACTGCTATACTGCTATTGCCACTCATTTTGGATAGCACTCTCGCCTCTCAGCAAGAAGGTCCTGGGTTCGAATCCCGGCCGGACCAGGGCCTTTCTGAGTGGAGTTTGCATGTTCTCCCCGTGTCTGCGTAGGTTTACTCCGGGTACTCCGGTTTCCCCTACCACTACAAATATGTACAATAGCTCTGGCATGCGCCTCCTGTACTGGTGACCCCGCTCCCATCTCTGTGCGGAGTGAGAGGACAAGTGCCCAAAAAATAACAATTGTAAACCGCTTTGTGACTCTGGTCTGTGAAAAGCGGTATATAAATAAAGCTTACTTACTCCTACTACTACTTACTTACAAAGTGCTGAACAAGACAAGATCGGTTTGTTGAGCACTTCATCACAAACATGATATAATAATAAACCATGGGTATAAAATAAACATAAAATATGTATCCGTCATACAGTGAGGAAATGTCAGTGTTGCAGCACACATGCAGGGCAGTAGAAAAAGCATGCAAAATATAAGTCGCTTTGAATATATCAATTTATTTCATATTTAATTCAGATACACAAAGGGTCCATAAAAAACAAACACAAAAAAAGACGAACAACACACACACAAACATGAATAGATGATATAATTTTCTTTGAGGAAGGAGTTGTAACAGTTACCAACATGATAATAAGGCAAAGTACCCAGCTTTTATTTTGAAAGGCCTGGCGGATTCAGTTCACACACGCCATCTTTGAATTTCTAATTATCCTGGTGCGGGCTAATAACTAAACTTTTACAATAAGCAGCACTAGTGGTTTACTTCGAGCGAGTGTTTGAGGCTGGTGCATGCTCTCAAACACAACAAACGCTACAAACTACTGCATGCATTAGCCAAACGCAGGTGCCATTATCATGCTAGCGCGTTAGCTCCGGGGGATGGCGCTAGCATAAGCAGCCAATACAGCAAATGTCCCAGCACCCAGCGCGGAGATCTTACCTCCAGCTGTGGATGATGGGGCCAGATATTGTGGGTAATGTAGTGCAGTTTGTGAAAAAGGGGAATCCAACTTGGACACGGTTAAGAGCGGGCTAAAGCTAAAGTGTGCAGGGTCATGATGTCTTTGAGCTATGCAGAGGGGACATACTGTATGCAAATGTAGGGAGTCTGTTTCAATTTATGACCCCTCACCCGACACCACTGTAATCCTAGACATTGTAATAATCACAACTTCCGGTTACAGTATAGATATATGTCGCCATCAAGAGAAAAAAACAAAATAAGTGATCTGATTCAGTTAAAATACAGTATTGCTCGCTTCTGTGCGTCTCTTTGATCTGCAGCCCATGTGTCATTGTGGAGACATTTCTACCGCACGCAGGTCTGTATCGTAATGTAAAGATTATGACCGTAATAGTTGTGTTTTATTTTGATGTCCGCCGGAAATGGTCTGTGTTATAAATCATACTTGGATCATACTTGACACCACAGCGCATAACAGTGGTCATAGATCTATGCAGTGGGCGTGCTGTGTCTGCTGTGCACTGTCTGGCATTCAATTCTGAAAATAAATAGGGTTCCCACTTCGCATTGTTGCAAAGGTGGGACTAAAAGTTGAACAGGGTGGAGGTGGGGCAAGCAGGAACACATGCTTTGTAATTGTATTGTTTATAAATGGTTAATAATATAGTTTCTAGTTACCACATACGAAAAAAAAAATGAATATTACTTCTAGTTCTCAGGTTTCTGGACTGGCTTCCTGTGGCTCAGAACATAGCATTTAAAGCAGCTTATGTACAAGTCTCTCTATGGGCTCACATTGAAGTACATTGTAACATATAGAACAAAACATTAGGAGGGGGATTACAGTACCTAATATCTGAAACAGTCTTATTAATATGCAAATATGTGTGAGAATATGTTACTGTGGACTTTAGTCTGAAGTGTGTGAAGTTTTGGTTATGTTATTAGGTTACTGTATTGTATTTTATTGCACTGTTGTTATTAGCTATTGCTCTCTATCTTTTATAATGTTTCACAGCTCCATCTTTTGTCAGTTTCACATCAAAGACTTCTTCTAGCCGGTGTCTCAAAATCACCCAGGGCTTGGGCTTCCTTGAGGCTCTTCATTGCTTTTGTTTTTGTTTTCAGGATCTTGTTTTTTTCCTGGTGGAATGCAAGAAGACCCTGCTGCAAGTTTTTGTGTCATGATCAACCAAAATATGAGGTCTCCACATGTGAAAATAAATATAATGGCATTCAAAGTTGATGATATCATAAAGAAAACAATCTATTTATTTTTCATATTTACACTAATTTACTCTCAATGATTGAATATACATTTTAGACAATAGCGTTCGTTGATGTTTGTAAGTGCATTTCTCTGCTTCTTGTTCTGTGTTGTAAAGAAAACGTCATGCACTGTCAACATCAAACCACTAGATGGCATCAACAACACAGACCAGGCATGTAAGTGAACCACTTCATACAGAAGTTAATGCAAACAATGATAAATAGAAATGACACAATGAACCGGGACTGCAAAAATAGATTTCTTTGATGGCAAGAAATGTGTTGGAGAAAATATCCATACAGTGCACTCGGAAAATATAGTTATTAAAAAAAGAAAGACTTGACATTTCAACTTTTTCATGTTTCATGACGCCCAGTTGTTTAATTAAAGTACGATTTTTTTGGCCTGCAAAGAGATGGTTTAAGATGTATCTGAATAATTTGGTTTGGACTGATGGGTCTGCTACATTTCAATACAGAAAAACACGTGCTGTACTGTAAAAGACTTATCTAAAATATTTGAAAGTTGATTTCCTGACCTAGATTGGAGTATAATGGTATATTAAAACTGAGGTACTTTCGAACAACACAAAAATCTATTTCAAATGAACTATGTTTATAAATAAATATACAACTATTCAACTCCCTCTTAAAACAGTTCGGTTCTGTCGCCAGTTTTCACTTCCATATATCCTCCATCACATCTTTAGATCAGCTTTTTCGGACAGAAAATTGGAAAAAAGAGGAACCAGCCAATCACCTCTCAGCCCAAAGAGTCAAATAGTGACCCAGGACGCATTCTCACATATTCAAAAGATATCATGTTTTCTAATAAGGCGATGATGACAAAACTTCTGATTTATTTCCAAAACCAGATTGTGTCTGTTGGGACAAACATATTATCTAAAGGGGTGAAAGGTTAGGTACCGCAGCTTTAATGCACAGAGCTCTCCTTTTATTGTGAAGGGCCAGTGCGCACAGGTGTCGCGCGTCTGGCCCGTGTTGTCATACCTGCTCATCCATGACTTGTAGCGCACACACCCGCGCACTCACACACATCTATATCAGGACCACGATCTGCGCTGATTTACAACCCACGTTTCTCGGATGGTGACCTGACGAACATGCCGGGCCAAGGTAACCACCAGCTTCCACATTATGAGTAAACCTAAAGGTAAAAAAAAGATGAGAAAGTGCGAACGCGTTGATCCAATTTACAAAAAGTGTGGGTGTGGTGCTGCAGACAAGGTGCTGCACCTGCTGTGGTTAATTCTAATCATCACTGAGACGAGTAGACTGGCTTTTTCAGATTTGGGGAAAAAATGACTAATACAATGATTTAATATAGGCCAGTGACCCATCTCTGCCAACTTAAAAACAAAACATATCCATATCCAGATATTGTTTGTAAAAGTACTGATCAGCCTTTTATAATTTTGAAAAAAATGTGTTTGTATTTTTTCTCTATTTTATCAAACTTCTATGACTAAATTCTATGATCAATCACTTCCATCCAATTTTCTCACAGTAAAATTATAATATACTTAACCATTAGTGACAGGATAGAAAGTGGATGGTTAATTAGAAACACACAATGTCAAAGATTCCACAATTCCTTCCGAACATGTTTGCACTTAACTGTTTTTTGCGAATTAACTATTCACATGATTATTTTTCCCAACAAAGTGTTAAAAAGGTAAAACATTGTAAAATAAACAGACCTCAACTTCATATTTAAAAAAAATAAATGGCCATGTGAGTCACATTTTGCCTCTTTTGGCTCTGAGCTGATTGCTTTTTGTTAAATGCTTGTCAAAATTTGTTAGCCGTAAAACATACTTACAAGTGAACTTTAAATGAACAACAACTTTCACAAAACGTTCCCTCTCCAAACGTAGGGCTTGTCCAACAGTTCTACATGTCTGTTTTTTTGCTTTTTGATCAAATCTCTGTTCTCTCAAAAGGACTTGAATGACATTTAGCACACATTTGCATCACAAACCGAGCATTACATTTCTTCGTTCATTGTGAGGCTACAAACAGAAAGTCCTCAGACCAAAGTTGCCCCAGAGCTGCATGAGAGCGAGTGTGGTCAGCAGGTTCAGACTCGTAGAAGAGCCACAGAAAGAACCAGAGATGAACGTGCTCTTGCCACATCCCACACTGATGACCGCTCCATTGTAAACAAAGCCCTGTAGAACCTGCTGATCCAAGCCACACTGCTCCAGGCTCATGCGGGAGGCGTGAGGACCCCCAGTGTCCGGTCAGACCGTTCTAACATCATCATGGTCTGTAGACAATGAGCATGAAACCAACAGTATAGGGCTGTAATTATTCATACATATTTTTGATTGACTAGTTCGCCGATTATTCTCTGTTGACTCAAGCGATTGCAAATTGGACTTGGGACCAATTTTGATACACAATATTCAAGGGTTCAGCTCTTTAAAATGTCAGAGTCACAATGTAGCCCTGTCAAATCCATCTTGTTTGTAATAGTTTAGTTTTTCTGGTTGTGCATCTTGAAATTTCATACATTGCCTTGTTATAAAAGCTTTACCTGAAGAACTCAAAATTAACAGATTTGTTCTGAAAATAATTGTTGCATATGCCCCTGAAAGATGGTGCCGTGGCAAGAGCTCTGGTGTGTTCAATCTGGAGCACAGGTATCTTGCACAGTTTTTCCAATGTGGTTTTACTGCAAATGGCAAATAAATTCTTGAATCTTAAAATTTTCATAGAGATGATTGTCTGAGTTAACCTGACAAATGATAACATTCTGTTGTAATAGAATTATCTGAGTCATAAAACCTCCTTCTCAGCATGTTTATATAGGTTCATTAGTTTCAAGAATTAGTTGTGATTTAATTGATTTAACTTGTTTGGGTCTGTTTATGATATATGGAGTAATGAGATGGTCTTTACTTTTCTCTCTTAATCTGAGGTCGAAGCAAACGTATCCATTGGCGCTGTTGATGAGGGGAGCTTCTGTATTTTGACTTGGTATGAAACCATGTGAATGCGTGTTGTTCATGCTGTGCTCCAACAATTAGATATGTCTTCACTGCAAAAAGTGATGAGAAATGGGTCAAAAATTGCTCAAATTTGGCAAAATATTATGTATGTTGGCAAATCTTGTTTTTTAAGGCAGTCAGAATGTACTCAAATTAAGATAAAAACCAAATGATTACCTTTATATTTTATCCTTTTTTTGCTGTGTTCTGCTGAGACAAAATCCCAGACCTCTACATCTGTGGCCATTTTTGTCACCTGTTTGTCGTGGTGAACAGATTGACATCATTTAAATTGTTGAAACATGTTAAACGCTCATGTTAATTTGTTTTAATTTTTGAGTCATTTATTGTGCTATTAGATCAAATATATTTTAAAAGCAGTCGAGCCTATAAGCATTTCCTCTACATTCATATATTGAGAGACACTAATGCCAGGATGGAACCACAGACTGACGCTCTGGGCACATGTTTGCTGCGGTTATTCTCAAAGTCCAGGCAGTTTATGAGCTAATCATTAATGTGTGAGCCGTTACCGCCGTGGCTTTGACCTGTCTCTGTGATCGATGTACTCGGACAACATCAATAAGACTGAACTCTCGCTGCAGCCGCTCCACTTCTGTTTAGAGACGAGCGGAGAAGCCCTCAGTTATTATAGACCAGAGCAGTTTGGTTTGGGGATACTCGAGTAAAACTGACTTTGATAATGGAAGTGAATGCAATTGGATTTTTTTGTTTGTTTTTTCCCATTTCTCATTATATACATACATGTACAGCAATATAACTAGGGTCTATTTTAAAAGCTTTTATATGCAATGAATTAGATCAAGAAAACGTGCATCAATCACAATTATTGAAACCTTTAATTACTACTTACAAATAAACTCAATAATATATTAAATTGAGTAAAAGTGATTTGATTACTGTATTTTTTTGCACTATTAAGCGCACATAAAAGCCTTCAATTTCAACAGTGCACCTTATAATCCGGTGCACCTTTTTTTATATGAGAAAATCAGTTCAAAATTTGATACTGCGCCTTATCAGGTGTTCCTTATAGCGTGAAAAATATGGTATTTATTTCAATTAGTTGGTCAATAAGGGTTTTTTACATTGTGTCCCCCTCCATCCACACACTTTTTGGTCATTCTCAGAAGTCACAAAAGTGTAACAATAGTCTTCTTAGTGAAGAAAATGACAGTCTATGATTATGTCTTTACTTCAGACGGAAGACTTTTTTTTTTTTTTATTGTTGATGGTAGACTGCACCCTCAAAGATGTTACAAAATACATGTGATATTATACAGCATGGAGGAATGGAGACCGTCCAAGTAGCGTTTTCCACGGCGCATACGAGTTTAAATTTAACCACAGTTGCTTCAAATTGTCATGAAATCTCTAAATTAGTATTAGTTTTCAAATGGTAAAATTCAACATTTAAAATTCTAAATCTGACGGCACAAAAAAATCTTCCATAGACTTGAAGAATGATCAAAAACAAACGCGTGGGTCCTTGTCCGTGCAGGTCTGTGTTGTGGCAGCCTGGAGCAGCCCAAACCCCTGATGAAGATGGGGCTGACGGTGATCCTGATCGGACACGTCAACTTCATGTTGGCGGCGCTGGTGCAGGGCGTGGTGCTCCGACACATCAACTTCCAGAAGCATCACCGCACCCTGGAGTACGCCATCTCCACCGTGGTGACGCTGACCGCAGGACTGCTGGTGAGACGCAAATCCAAATGGGTCTCACACAATCACACACTCGCGCAACTTACTGCTGTAATTTACGACACAAATACAAACACAAATCCCTCCCCGTCCCCCCTCCCTCACCCGTGTTTGTGATGTTGCCAAACTACTGCATAGTCAAATATGGTCTCAATTAGCGTCCCAGAAAAGTATTGCAAAAAGTTATGGACAAGATATTATCAACCGTATAGGCGATAAAGCTGGGGTACTTAACTTTATTTGCGTTTTTATTATTAACAACGGATTTCTGTTTTGAAAATGTGTCAAAACGTTGTGTTCTTCTAATTATAATCTTCAATGTATTTTGTTATTGGCAGTGAATTTGAAAGAAGTAATATTTATATATATTGTAGATGTTTTTAGTGATAGGTAAAACCCGGTGCACCCGGAGGGAACCTATGTAGACAGAGAAAACATGCAACTTCACTCAGAAAGGCCTCGTTCCGACTGAGATTCAAACCCAGGACCTTCTTGCTGAGAAGCGAGAGTACTGATTGAAGACTGCTAGGCCACTCAGCCCCAGAAAGAAAATGAAAGAAGGGATGACACTTTATTTTTATACTTATGGCACTGAAATAGATTTGGCTTTTCAAATAACTGTGTAATGAGCAAGCTACACAGATAAGAGTGCCAATAATAAAAACATTTGCAAGCTTACTCTGCAAAATCAAATATTTTTCTAATGGCACTTTTCTGTCTTTGAAAATGACATGTTGTTTCATGTTGTTTTTTTCAAAGAGGGATCTACCGTGTAATGGTAAAACATTGTGAACAAATCAGACACCTGATTTTGGGCTGAGAGCGCTTTCTGTCCGTAAAAGCTCATCAAAAGGAGTTGGACAGGTCAAAAATACTCGCAATTTTGTGTCGTTTGCAAGTGAAAATGTGATCAACCCGAACCTTTTTTCATTAAAAAAAGTGTACGGCAGATCTTTGAGAGACAGACCTACATAATGCCTTAATATAAATCTGAAAACACTGTATATTTTGCTAAGAGCCTTCTTACGATATGGGCTGGAATTCGCTTTTTGGCTGAGCAAGGCAAGGGTGTGGTTCCCTTTTTGATCTTTCTGTATGAAGGAACTTGCAATGGAAGCCGAGCAACTATGAAAATCAGGTACCCCAGCTTTATATCAACCACTACCCCAGTGATTCCCAAACCTTTTCTAGCGGGCCCCCCTTTGGTACATGAGAATTTTTGTTCTGAGAGTCAATTTCAGTTTATTTCACACGTTGTAATTAGTATAAACCTCAGCCCTCACTGCAGATTGTAATGTGTAAAAAATGCATCCGTCTTATGCTAGCAGTGTCATTTAGCCTACTGTATTTTCGTTCATTCATTCGTGTCCCCCCCCCCCCATGTAGTTATTACTTTGATTTTTTTTTTTTTTTAGTTACGCAATTGTTGTATTTGCAGGGAATTCTCGTCGGCATTCTCACCATTGTTCTGGCCAAGAACAGGAAGAGCAGATGTTTGGCAAGTATCAGAAATGCCATCTTAAATATTTACAGCTCTAATAACCATTACAATATTTGTTGAATTATTCTTTGCTCAGTCGTTACGTTTCTGTTTTGGAAGGCCTTTTTGAAATTGAAAAGTTTTGAGGTGTTGTGCAGGAGTTGATTGAAGAAACATTGGTTAACATTTTTATATTGTGATTTCGAATGCTTTCCTTTCCCCCTGATTTAAACGATACTGCTTGTATCGTCAATGTTGTTCCTTTCATGACAATGCTTTTAATCTCATTAGATTGTTTACATATTGATAATAGTTAAAATATATCTTTTACCATTACATTAAGGAAAGGAGCAGAACAGAAGATGTATGTTATATTTTTCCGCTGCAATATCACAAAACAATGGTCTACCCTGACTTTTCCCCGGTACAAATGTTGTATTGTAAGTAAGTAATCTTTATTTACAGAATATACCACCTTTCACTGACCAGAGTCACAAAGCGGTTTACAATTGTTGGTATTTGTCCTCTCACTCCTCAGAGATGGGAGCTGGGTCGCCAGTACAGGAGACGCATGCCAGGCCAATATATTGTACATGTTTTTAGTGGTAGAGGAAACCGTAGTACCCGGAGGAAACCTATGCAGACACGGGGAGAGCATGCAAACTCCACTCAGAGAGGCCCTTTTCCGGTTAAACCACTTCTGTGAACAATTCTCACAATTACAACCCATCATTTATACCTTTACATACATAGTTGCATACATGAAGTCTCATCAATTCTAAATTACAATAGTGGGCATTTTTACATTCAAACCCATGGCCTATGTTCATTGACCCATGCTCGCACCACGGACGTCCCAAACATTAGCGGAAGTGATGCATTTTGGGCAGCCATGGTTCTTCCGGCCGTGCACAGTCTGTGTTCCACTTCTGCAGAACCATAGGGACACGTGAGCGTTTGGACCAATCAGTGCTCGGCAGGTCACAGTGGAGAGAGAGTGGGACAAGAGCGAGCTGAGTTTGCACAAAGTATAAATTTTAAAAGGAAAAAAAGGTTCAGCATAGCAAATGAGACTAAAATCCCCACAAAATTCGACCGTTATGAAAGCCGTAAGTTCCCTTTCAGTTGAGGACGAGCTGTTTTAGTCAACATTGAGGTCTATGGCAAAATCTTCAATAAAGCCAATGTGAATTTGGTGGTCCCTTGTCCATGCCATACATAAGTTATCAATACCCTATCCAGATTCTATAATATGTCTATGGTCTCACTGTGTGCACTGACGATGGCTCCTCAGGCCCAGAAAGAGCCATAATTTAGTATATTTTGGCTCGTGCCAGTTTTGTATTTATGCCATAAACGATTCGCAGCGGAGTTGGTTTGATTCAAAGCTAACAAGCCAGAGTCACCATATAATTCTGACATAAAACTAGATCCGTACCAGCCACAGTAATTCACATGGCTATGGCTTCTGACTGTGTGTGAGTTTTGATAATGGTTTATCCTGGGTTATATGAGCATGAACACATTTCAGTATATGACATTGTACTGTATATTTGCCAGGTAGTTCTGTTAGCATATCGCCTAATCTTTCCTTTTGTGTTCTCCGCTTGGCTTTAGTACAGCATCAGGTTGGGCTCGACCGCTCTTGTTTGTTCAGTGTCCACTCGAGCAGGACTGACAGGGCACCGTGCTCTGGGCCATGACTCCTGCACCTGGTCTGGTCTAGTCTGGTCCAAGCCACTCCCCAGGGCCTTTGTCAAGTGACCAGGAGAGGCCTGTTCAGCTGTTTGCCATCCATCACTTAATCTGCCTGTCAACACACCCTCTCTTCACCTGAATACAGTTTATCATAGTGTCCTAGTGTTGATTACATTATCGTTCAGTTGTTTTAGCAGCACCGTGGTTGCTCTCTGCCTTTTTGTAAACTTGAATAGCTTGTCGTGCATCTACATTCTTGACAGAATAGTTTCAGTGTTGTTTTAAATTGTGCCATTAGTGTCACTAGTTCAACTCAAAATGGTTGTTTTGATCAGACACAGCAATGGGGGATACAATGTCTGTTTTGAACAGATATTGTCTGACTGGTTTTTGATGTTATTTTGTATTATATTTATTTAATTGATAGGAATTGTGTGCACAATCAACATGTGAAACACTCCAACATTTATAGATATCTGTCCCTAGAACTGCTTTTCGCACAATTTAAACCATGTTACATTCACATCATACAAAGACATTGTCACTCAGGTCAAAGACGGTGATGCAACTGGCAAAAAAAATTACTTCAGTTCATGTTTAAAACCAGCTGAGTCCAAGTTCAGTTTCAGCTGAAGGCTGAAAGAGTTCTAGAGCTTTGATCACTTGGCAGAGAAGACAGGGTGTGGTTCTCCTGAGGGGCACGTTTCCATTGGAGGAGTCTTGTGTGACGGAGCCCGCAGCCCTCAGATTCCTTTGTATGTAGTAGTAGTAGAAGTTTATTTTAGCAGTTTTACATTGTATTTTTACATGTACATATAAGTGCTTTCCCACATTATCAATACTACATTTAAGCAACTTCAAACGGACTCAGATTTTCACATGATATTCCTGATTTTTGCCATCTTGTTGATGCAAACAAAAACCGGTTAGCAATTTATGTTTATATTTCACTGCAATATATGTAAATGTTTATATATTTTGTTTTATAATACAATAACATGTGGTGCAGTCGGTCTGTCTCAAACATAGACTGTACATTAAGTCTCAAACCAAGTCCTTTACCAGCTCAGGAAATGGTGATTGGGATAAAGAGATAAGTGGAATACACAGTGGAATACACAGTGGCATATCAGATTTAGATTTTCTTCTAACACTACAGTGGCATTATGGTAACTGGACTGACAGGCTTTGGCATCAGCGCTGCTACACCGAAGTGTTTCCCCTGCTGGATCAGCCTACGGTAAACAGGTCAACTAATTGGAATGTGGAACAAAGGACAGTATATATTTGTGTTTAAAAAAAGTTCTCCAATAAGCAGACTCATTCTAAATGCAGTAAATGATTGATTCATACCGTTATTCTTATTAGACTTTTAGATGTTCATTTATGAAGTTTTCAAATGGTAAAATTCAACATTTAAAATTCTAAATCTGACGGCACAAAAAAATCTTCCATAGACTTGAAGAATGATCAAAAACAAACGCGTGGGTCCTTGTCCGTGCAGGTCTGTGTTGTGGCAGCCTGGAGCAGCCCAAACCCCTGATGAAGATGGGGCTGACGGTGATCCTGATCGGACACGTCAACTTCATGTTGGCGGCGCTGGTGCAGGGCGTGGTGCTCCGACACATCAACTTCCAGAAGCATCACCGCACCCTGGAGTACGCCATCTCCACCGTGGTGACGCTGACCGCAGGACTGCTGGTGAGACGCAAATCCAAATGGGTCTCACACAATCACACACTCGCGCAACTTACTGCTGTAATTTACGACACAAATACAAACACAAATCCCTCCCCGTCCCCCCTCCCTCACCCGTGTTTGTGATGTTGCCAAACTACTGCATAGTCAAATATGGTCTCAATTAGCGTCCCAGAAAAGTATTGCAAAAAGTTATGGACAAGATATTATCAACCGTATAGGCGATAAAGCTGGGGTACTTAACTTTATTTGCGTTTTTATTATTAACAACGGATTTCTGTTTTGAAAATGTGTCAAAACGTTGTGTTCTTCTAATTATAATCTTCAATGTATTTTGTTATTGGCAGTGAATTTGAAAGAAGTAATATTTATATATATTGTAGATGTTTTTAGTGATAGGTAAAACCCGGTGCACCCGGAGGGAACCTATGTAGACAGAGAAAACATGCAACTTCACTCAGAAAGGCCTCGTTCCGACTGAGATTCAAACCCAGGACCTTCTTGCTGAGAAGCGAGAGTACTGATTGAAGACTGCTAGGCCACTCAGCCCCAGAAAGAAAATGAAAGAAGGGATGACACTTTATTTTTATACTTATGGCACTGAAATAGATTTGGCTTTTCAAATAACTGTGTAATGAGCAAGCTACACAGATAAGAGTGCCAATAATAAAAACATTTGCAAGCTTACTCTGCAAAATCAAATATTTTTCTAATGGCACTTTTCTGTCTTTGAAAATGACATGTTGTTTCATGTTGTTTTTTTCAAAGAGGGATCTACCGTGTAATGGTAAAACATTGTGAACAAATCAGACACCTGATTTTGGGCTGAGAGCGCTTTCTGTCCGTAAAAGCTCATCAAAAGGAGTTGGACAGGTCAAAAATACTCGCAATTTTGTGTCGTTTGCAAGTGAAAATGTGATCAACCCGAACCTTTTTTCATTAAAAAAAGTGTACGGCAGATCTTTGAGAGACAGACCTACATAATGCCTTAATATAAATCTGAAAACACTGTATATTTTGCTAAGAGCCTTCTTACGATATGGGCTGGAATTCGCTTTTTGGCTGAGCAAGGCAAGGGTGTGGTTCCCTTTTTGATCTTTCTGTATGAAGGAACTTGCAATGGAAGCCGAGCAACTATGAAAATCAGGTACCCCAGCTTTATATCAACCACTACCCCAGTGATTCCCAAACCTTTTCTAGCGGGCCCCCCTTTGGTACATGAGAATTTTTGTTCTGAGAGTCAATTTCAGTTTATTTCACACGTTGTAATTAGTATAAACCTCAGCCCTCACTGCAGATTGTAATGTGTAAAAAATGCATCCGTCTTATGCTAGCAGTGTCATTTAGCCTACTGTATTTTCGTTCATTCATTCGTGTCCCCCCCCCCCCATGTAGTTATTACTTTGATTTTTTTTTTTTTTTAGTTACGCAATTGTTGTATTTGCAGGGAATTCTCGTCGGCATTCTCACCATTGTTCTGGCCAAGAACAGGAAGAGCAGATGTTTGGCAAGTATCAGAAATGCCATCTTAAATATTTACAGCTCTAATAACCATTACAATATTTGTTGAATTATTCTTTGCTCAGTCGTTACGTTTCTGTTTTGGAAGGCCTTTTTGAAATTGAAAAGTTTTGAGGTGTTGTGCAGGAGTTGATTGAAGAAACATTGGTTAACATTTTTATATTGTGATTTCGAATGCTTTCCTTTCCCCCTGATTTAAACGATACTGCTTGTATCGTCAATGTTGTTCCTTTCATGACAATGCTTTTAATCTCATTAGATTGTTTACATATTGATAATAGTTAAAATATATATCTTTTACCATTACATTAAGGAAAGGAGCAGAACAGAAGATGTATGTTATATTTTTCCGCTGCAATATCACAAAACAATGGTCTACCCTGACTTTTCCCCGGTACAAATGTTGTATTGTAAGTAAGTAATCTTTATTTACAGAATATACCACCTTTCACTGACCAGAGTCACAAAGCGGTTTACAATTGTTGGTATTTGTCCTCTCACTCCTCAGAGATGGGAGCTGGGTCGCCAGTACAGGAGACGCATGCCAGGCCAATATATTGTACATGTTTTTAGTGGTAGAGGAAACCGTAGTACCCGGAGGAAACCTATGCAGACACGGGGAGAGCATGCAAACTCCACTCAGAGAGGCCCTTTTCCGGTTAAACCACTTCTGTGAACAATTCTCACAATTACAACCCATCATTTATACCTTTACATACATAGTTGCATACATGAAGTCTCATCAATTCTAAATTACAATAGTGGGCATTTTTACATTCAAACCCATGGCCTATGTTCATTGACCCATGCTCGCACCACGGACGTCCCAAACATTAGCGGAAGTGATGCATTTTGGGCAGCCATGGTTCTTCCGGCCGTGCACAGTCTGTGTTCCACTTCTGCAGAACCATAGGGACACGTGAGCGTTTGGACCAATCAGTGCTCGGCAGGTCACAGTGGAGAGAGAGTGGGACAAGAGCGAGCTGAGTTTGCACAAAGTATAAATTTTAAAAGGAAAAAAAGGTTCAGCATAGCAAATGAGACTAAAATCCCCACAAAATTCGACCGTTATGAAAGCCGTAAGTTCCCTTTCAGTTGAGGACGAGCTGTTTTTAGTCAACATTGAGGTCTATGGCAAAATCTTCAATAAAGCCAATGTGAATTTGGTGGTCCCTTGTCCATGCCATACATAAGTTATCAATACCCTATCCAGATTCTATAATATGTCTATGGTCTCACTGTGTGCACTGACGATGGCTCCTCAGGCCCAGAAAGAGCCATAATTTAGTATATTTTGGCTCGTGCCAGTTTTGTATTTATGCCATAAACGATTCGCAGCGGAGTTGGTTTGATTCAAAGCTAACAAGCCAGAGTCACCATATAATTCTGACATAAAACTAGATCCGTACCAGCCACAGTAATTCACATGGCTATGGCTTCTGACTGTGTGTGAGTTTTGATAATGGTTTATCCTGGGTTATATGAGCATGAACACATTTCAGTATATGACATTGTACTGTATATTTGCCAGGTAGTTCTGTTAGCATATCGCCTAATCTTTCCTTTTGTGTTCTCCGCTTGGCTTTAGTACAGCATCAGGTTGGGCTCGACCGCTCTTGTTTGTTCAGTGTCCACTCGAGCAGGACTGACAGGGCACCGTGCTCTGGGCCATGACTCCTGCACCTGGTCTGGTCTAGTCTGGTCCAAGCCACTCCCCAGGGCCTTTGTCAAGTGACCAGGAGAGGCCTGTTCAGCTGTTTGCCATCCATCACTTAATCTGCCTGTCAACACACCCTCTCTTCACCTGAATACAGTTTATCATAGTGTCCTAGTGTTGATTACATTATCGTTCAGTTGTTTTAGCAGCACCGTGGTTGCTCTCTGCCTTTTTGTAAACTTGAATAGCTTGTCGTGCATCTACATTCTTGACAGAATAGTTTCAGTGTTGTTTTAAATTGTGCCATTAGTGTCACTAGTTCAACTCAAAATGGTTGTTTTGATCAGACACAGCAATGGGGGATACAATGTCTGTTTTGAACAGATATTGTCTGACTGGTTTTTGATGTTATTTTGTATTATATTTATTTAATTGATAGGAATTGTGTGCACAATCAACATGTGAAACACTCCAACATTTATAGATATCTGTCCCTAGAACTGCTTTTCGCACAATTTAAACCATGTTACATTCACATCATACAAAGACATTGTCACTCAGGTCAAAGACGGTGATGCAACTGGCAAAAAAAATTACTTCAGTTCATGTTTAAAACCAGCTGAGTCCAAGTTCAGTTTCAGCTGAAGGCTGAAAGAGTTCTAGAGCTTTGATCACTTGGCAGAGAAGACAGGGTGTGGTTCTCCTGAGGGGCACGTTTCCATTGGAGGAGTCTTGTGTGACGGAGCCCGCAGCCCTCAGATTCCTTTGTATGTAGTAGTAGTAGAAGTTTATTTTAGCAGTTTTACATTGTATTTTTACATGTACATATAAGTGCTTTCCCACATTATCAATACTACATTTAAGCAACTTCAAACGGACTCAGATTTTCACATGATATTCCTGATTTTTGCCATCTTGTTGATGCAAACAAAAACCGGTTAGCAATTTATGTTTATATTTCACTGCAATATATGTAAATGTTTATATATTTTGTTTTATAATACAATAACATGTGGTGCAGTCGGTCTGTCTCAAACATAGACTGTACATTAAGTCTCAAACCAAGTCCTTTACCAGCTCAGGAAATGGTGATTGGGATAAAGAGATAAGTGGAATACACAGTGGAATACACAGTGGCATATCAGATTTAGATTTTCTTCTAACACTACAGTGGCATTATGGTAACTGGACTGACAGGCTTTGGCATCAGCGCTGCTACACCGAAGTGTTTCCCCTGCTGGATCAGCCTACGGTAAACAGGTCAACTAATTGGAATGTGGAACAAAGGACAGTATATATTTGTGTTTAAAAAAAGTTCTCCAATAAGCAGACTCATTCTAAATGCAGTAAATGATTGATTCATACCGTTATTCTTATTAGACTTTTAGATGTTCATTTATGAAGTTAATGAGGTGGTTGTTTGAATGGTTAATAATAATGGATGTTTAATCAGTGGTTTTACATTTGTTTGTCGTTACAAACAAATGTAAAACCCCCTTTAAAAACCCCCCTTTAATTCCTGCTTCTCGAGAGAGCGGTCGTGTCTCTCTGCTCTGCTTTTGCTTCGCCTTTTAATCTCCCTGAATCATTTTATTTACATTTTTTGTTTCTCCTTTAATCATTTTATTTACAAAACGAGGATTACTCCTTCTACACACTTCAGCTTTGTGGAATTTATCAACATTAGTCATGTCGGGACGGAAGAGACGGAGAAGCGTCTGCGGTGGCTGTTGTGCTTTGGAAAATCAGCTTAAATCTCTTCAAACACGGATATCTATTGTGGAAACAGAAATGGGACTTAACCCGACTCTTCCAATGAGTGAAAATGGGATGAATGGACAGACTGGAAATGTAAGTTATGACGTCATTTCTTTTCCCAAAATCAACAATGAGAATTATTGGAACAATTGTGGAGCCAAACCCAAAGTTGACAAAGCTAAGAATGACAATAGGAGTGAAATAAGGCCACAACTAAATGTTCTGAAGACTTCAAACCGCTTTTTACCCCTTTCTGAAACAACAAAGCTGCTAAAAACTGCAGCGCCTCCACCAAGGACAAACTGTATCCTTATCGGAGATGGCTCGGTGAAAAATGTAAACATGGAGTCCATGCTCACTGTCTCAGTTCACTCTGCTAAAGTTGCTGAGATAAGAACTCTTCTGCCTAGAGTGTTATCTGAGAACAGTGGTGTGCGTACATTATTGATCCACACGGGGGCGGTAGATATCTATGAGAAGGCAAGCGAGAAGTTACGAATGGATTTAACGCTGTTACTGGATGACCTCAAGAAAATGGACATAACAATTTTTCTTAGTGTGCCCACTGCCAAATATAGATGGAAAAATGGAGAAGTTTAGCCGTCTGTATCAGCTAAATACATTTCTACTCAATGAGTGTTCACGCAGAGGACTTGGCTTCATTGAAAACTTTAATCTGTTCTGGAATAGGCACGAGCTTTTTGAAGAAAAAGGCCCACATCTGAACAACTACGGAGTAAAAGTGCTGAGGATAACTTTGCATCTGCCCTAAGACCTCAGCCTGCGCAGCGCGTGCAGCCGTTGAAAGGGAGAAAGAAGAAGCAAAGGGCACAGACATCACGACCATCTCCACCGACTCCCGAAGTCTCTGCACCCCCACCGCCTCAAAAGAACTCCACACCTCCACGATTCAAGAAGAACTCAACACCTCCAAGGTTCCAAAAGAACTCAACACCTCCACGGCTTCGAAAGAGCTCAACGCCTCCACCCCCAGCATCATCAGCAGCTGCCACATCTTCATCAGCGCCATCAGCATATACAGCACCACCAGCAGCAGTGGATACAGCCGCAGCAGTGGCTGCTCCATCATCTTCAGCAGCAGCAGTGGCTGCTCCATCATCTTCAGCAGCAGCAGTGGATACAGCAGCAGCAGTGGCTGCTCCATCATCTTCAGCAGCAGCAGTGGATACAGCCGCAGCAGTGGCTGCTCCATCATCTTCAGCAGCAGCAGTGGCTGCTCCATCATCTTCAGCAGCAGCAGTGGATACAGCAGCAGCAGTGGCTGCTCCATCATCTTCAGCAGCAGCAGTGGCTGCTCCATCATCTTCAGCAGCAGCAGTGGATACAGCAGCAGCAGTGGCTGCTCCATCATCTTCAGCAGCACCTTCCCCACCTACAGCTCCCGTGAAGCTTCCCCCATTACTCCAGGCTACAGTCAGGCCTGTACTGGGGGTTCCTCAACCACCTCTGTCCCACCAAAGACTCCCTCATCACCTTCCATGGACCCGGCTTGGGTCCCCCCCGCTACATCCACTCCATCTAGGGAAAATGAGGACGACCTTTCCCTTTGTTTTCTATCCCCGCCTTCACTACTGGATTTACCGGAACACTCTGCAGGCATGATAAGATCGGCGATGAAGACTATTCCTCTCACACCCACTGTAGCCAGATCAAGAGTCCTATCTAACATTCAAAACTACTCCCCATACGTACCTCCAAAGCCACCTAGGGCGTCCAACTCAAATTCTCCCACAAAATCCACCCGTCCCTCCTCTAACCCCATAAGTATTCCACCCCCCCCTCCTGCTCATTTAGCCCCCCTCCCCCCCCCCTAACTCAGCACCAAGAAACCCTCCACCTCCACTCCCCCCTCGTCCACCACCCAACTCAGCCTGCCCCTCCCCTAACCCATCACCAAAAACCCATCCACCTTCAACCCCTCCCCGTCCAACTCCCAAGAACCACCCGCCTCTCCATCCTCCTCCCCCGCCTTCCCCTACCCCTCTTTTCTCTAAACACTAGGATGCACAGGGTCTCTGCTTCGCAGCCACTGGCAGTCTAGTTAGAGGAGAGACCCGGCTGGGGCCCTGTCGTGAAGCCACCTGTGCCATTCCCTTAGTGATAACACAAAGAATACATAACAGAAAAACATCTGGAGTTAATCAGTCTAATCAGGAAAATCTAATTCTTGTTCCGTGTAAGAATCAGCCGACCACAACCGCTGATCCTGAAACTTTGAAACTTGCTATGCTAAATGTCAGATCTCTTTGTAACAAGTCTTTTTTAATCAATAATTTTATTTGTTCTTATAATCTAGATCTTATGTTCATGGCTGAAACATGGCTTGACCAAAATACAGAAAATGCAGTTTTAATAGAAGCATCACCACCAAATTTCAAATTTGAATCTGAAATACGGGAAAACAAAAAAGGAGGAGGCTTAGCTGCCATTTTCAGAGACCACTTTGTCTCCCATAGAATGTCTCTTGGGAAGTTTCCGTCTTTTGAATATGTGTCTTTTAAAATACAACAAAAACAATCTCCTCCAATACTTTTCGTTGTCCTATACAAGCCACCGCAGTCATGTCACAGTTTTATTGATAATTTTACAGAGTTGCTTTCAGTTGTATGCACAGATTTTGATAGTTTAGTTATTACAGGTGATTTTAATATTCATGTGGATAATGTTGATGACAGAAATGCTAAAGAGCTGAGTTCTCTTCTTGAATCTTTTGGTCTCACTCAGCATGTGAGTGGCCCCACCCACAGCAAAGGGCACACTCTAGACCTGTTAGTTACAAAGGGGGCGAACATTTATAATGTAAACGTGGTCGATGTTGCGCTTTCGGATCATTTTTGTATATTTTTTGACATGTGTTTCACTAACAAACCACCAGTGGACTCTGCAACTGTACGAAGAAGACACATAAATGAAAATACGGGTGAACTATTTATGGGAATGATAAACTTTGAGAATGCATCGTATTCTACTGTAGATGAACTGTTTAACTCTGTCACCTCTAGTGTTTTGAAAGTTCTGGACACCATCGCTCCTGTGAAGGTTAAAATAGTGAAAAATAAGCAGAAGGCGCCGTGGGCTAAAGCAGACTCGGTCAGAGCACAAAAGAGAGAGTGCCGGAGGGCCGAGCGGAAGTGGCGCAAGTCCAACCTCCAGGTTGATTACAAGATCTTCAAAGATAAGTTGTGCGAGTTTAACCAGGTGCTACGTAGTACAAGAGAAAGGTATTTTTCTGAAATGATTGAAGGCTGCAGCAACAATCTGCGTGTTCTGTTTTCAACAGTTAATAGATTAACAAACCCCCCTGTTCAAATGCCATTAGAGCTAACTTCCAAACGTAAATGTAATGAGTTTGCACATTTTTTCAATGACAAGGTTCAAGGCATCAAAAACGCCATTGTCTCCAATCCACAGATAACAATCCAACAGCCAGAAAGGCTCTTTGAGCTAACTTACTTTGCACCTGTAAATGATCAAACTGTCCAAGAGATAATCTCCAGTTTGAGCTCCTCCACATGCAGCCTGGATGTACTACCCACTAGATTTCTAAAGTCTGTTCTGAGCAGTCTGTTACCTTCACTCACACAGATAGTAAACATGTCCCTTGATTCTGGAATATTCCCAAAGGCCCTGAAAACTGCAGTCATCAGGCCCCTGCTAAAAAAGAGCAGTCTGGATGCTACGGTACTTAACAACTATCGTCCCATCTCAAATCTGCCATTTATGGGGAAAGTCCTTGAGAAAGTTGTCTACCTACAGCTTACTAGATTTCTTATAATCAACAACTCATTTGATATGTTTCAGTCCGGCTTTAGACCCCACCACAGCACTGAGACTGCTCTCGTTAAGGTTACAAACGATATCCGGCTGAACACTGACGCAGGCAAAGTCTCAATCCTAATCCTGTTAGATCTAAGTGCTGCCTTTTGATACTGTCGACCATGAGATCCTCTTACAGAGACTAGAGGACTGGGTTGGCGTCGCTGGCACCGCCCTAAGTTGGTTTAGGTCCTACCTTGAAGACAGGAAGTACTTTGTGGAGATTGGAAACTGTGTCTCAGATCATATGGCCCTGACCTGTGGAGTACCACAGGGGTCGATCCTGGGACCTCTTCTGTTCAATCTCTACATGCTGCCGTTAGGTCAGTTAATACGCAGAAACAAAGTTTCCTATCATAACTATGCAGACGACACTCAGATCTATGTCTCACTGACTGCAGGAGAACATGGACCAGTGGACTCACTCCTTCACTGTATCCAACAGATCAGTGAGTGGATGCAAAACAACTTCCTTCAGCTAAACGCAGACAAAACTGAAATGATTGTCTTTGGTCCCCAGAAACAAAGAGAGAGCGTCATCTGTCACCTACAGTCTCTCTCCCTAAAACCTTCAAACAAGGTCAGAAATCTAGGGGTAATACTGGACTCAGACTTAAATTTTAATAGCCACATCAAATCAGTAACATCAGCAGCTTTTTACCATCTAAAAAACATTGCCAGGATCAAAAACATAGTGTCTAAAGCAGACTTGGAGATTCTTATCCATGCATTTGTCTCCAGTAGGTTAGACTACTGCAATGGCCTGCTCACAGGTCTGTCCAAACAGGCTGTAAAACAGCTGCAGTACATTCAAAATGCAGCAGCTCGAGTCCTGACTAGAACCAGGAAGTACGACCATATTAGTCCGGTCCTCAGGTCTCTGCACTGGCTTCCTGTGGCTCAGAGAATAGACTTTAAAACAGCTCTGCTTGTGTACAAATCTCTCCATGGCCTCGCACCAAAATATATTAGTGACATGTTAGTCCCATATGAACCAGCCCGGACTCTGAGGAGCACAGGGACTGGACTCCTGTTAGTGCCCAGAGTCAGAACTAAACATGGGGAGGCTGCTTTTCAGATTCATGCTGCTAAAATCTGGAACAATCTTCCTGAAGATGTGAGACAGGCCTCCTCTCTGACAATGTTTAAAACCAGGTTAAAAACGGTGCTGTTTAGCTGTGCATACAACTGAGGGATTTTATATTTTTATCTTTCGTTTTAATGTTCTGTAATTATTTATGATTTTAATGCTATCTTGTTCAGCACTTTGAGTTGCCTTGTGTATGAATTGTGCTATACAAATAAACTTGCCTTGCCTTGCCTTGCCTACTTCGTTTTCTTTTTGTTAAAATTATACCAACAATTATAAGTCTATATGTAGCTTGACTGATCGTGTTTTGGAAGTGAAGTTGGATTTCTATATCGTGCCTACCTAGTGATAGTCTGAATGTTTTAATCCTTCATGTGGATGTGGAGCTTGGTAACTAAAACGCTCTGCCTTCGACTGTGCTTTTGGACACTTTAGGAGCCACCAGAAGTGTGGTCTATGTTGAGTGCATAGCTCAGTTTTGCTTGATATGATTCTAATTTATCTCCTGAAGGTTGGAGGGAGCCTGGTCAAATGAAGTATTTTAGATATAAGATGAGGTGAGATAAGTTAAGATCCATGCTGCTGTATTTTTGACTTTCTATAGAGGAAAGGCTGCCAGGAGGGCATTACAGTAGTCGAGCTTTGACGTGACTGATGTGTTTATCATTTTTATGAATCACTTTTCAGACGGATTCATATTTATGGCGCAGATGAAAATAACAGGTTTTCGATGCTTGATCAGTTTTGTATACGCAGCATTGATGCAAACAATTCTTGCACACGCTGTAGAATCATGCAATATTTCCTGCTAATGACCGTATACTGTTCTGTCTCTGTTATAATACTGTGATTGTATCTTTCTGACTTTAGTCCAAATTTGGGTTTATGTGTGAGATATATTGAGATAAATTAACTGACTGAGTTTTTCTGTGGTTACTTCCAGATAAAAGTTAAACGACACAATTGGAGTCATTTAATAAGTTGGCTGTGATTTGAAGGGAACATATGTTTTAATCAGTCCCTCCCATCTGTTCACATCAGGCTTTTGCTAATATTCAAAGCCGACATCAGTATTGGAAATGACAACGCTGGATCAGTGCATCTAATTAACCTGGCAATGGTGGCATTTTCCAAAAGTATTGTAAGGATTTATGAGGGTTTTATTAGCGCAAAATATTTTCTATACCAATCCTGTCTTTGGTTGAACATTTGTCCTTCACCAGAATCATGTCAAGTACAACAGAAGATTAAAGCTTTTACTCTGCTACAAAAAAAACATTAAAAGTGAATACGAACTGAATATTTTTTCTAACAGTAACCCTTCTCCACATGTTGCAGACCTGGACCGTGTTTGTGCTCAGTCTGACCGCGGCCATCCTCGCCGGGATTTCTGCCTTGGGTCTGTTTATCGCCGTGGTGATGGCCATCAAGCAAAACGGACGCATCCTCCTCAGTCACTGCCGCTTCCCCGACGCCATCGGCTACTCCAGCATCACCAACGAGTGCCCCTTCGACCCCACCCGCATCTATGTGAGTGTGAGCGTGTGTACATCCACTCGCTGAGGACCATTTGGCTTGTTGTGCTTGAGGTTTGGTTTGAGTGTGTGTATCAAAAAGTGCAGGTATTTACTCTAGGACTGCAGAGACATGTATAATACCAAAGTAAGGTCACATCACAGCGGACCCTTCCCGACCTGAACCTCTCACCACAAGGATAGGTTCTCTCCTCCGCAGCCGGATTCATGAAAAGTCTCCAACTCTTCTCTCAGCACTTTCAAACTCATGTCCCTTTGATAACCTACACTACATCCTGCACTGATGACATGTTTAGTGTTAAGTTTTATGCTTGTTTTAATTATAGCTTCAGATTTTATTACTTGTTTGTTGTTGCGCCAAAACAAAGTCCAAGTTTTTTTGCTCAGACATTGGAATTGAAACGTCCCAATTCTTATTCTGATTAAAATCATGAAGTAAATGCTCTTTCTGGGGACAATGATGTTATAATATCAGGCTGCTACAAATACTGACATTGTTTTTCCTCACACTCCAGCTTCATTTGTAACTTCAGTGGCATGCAGTGCAGTTGTGAAATGCCAGAACATTTAGCTCTGGGGTTATAATGCACTTCTCTTCTGATTCAGCCACTGGTGTATACGGCTGTCCATTCATGTATACATTAATCCATGGCGGTAGTCCTAAAAGCCCCTGTTCTCTACTGTTTTTTGTGTGTGTATATTATGGGTGTTTTTTTGAACATGTTTTTTTGTTTTGTCCCAGAGTACCACGCTAATCCTGTGGGTGCCTCTGATCGTCACGTCAGTGGTGCAGATGGTCTTCACGTCTCGGTGCTTCGGGGTTTGCCTGTTCTTCCTCGGGCTGCCCTGCTGCTGCTGCTGTCGTCGTAGCAGCAAGACGTTAGGCCGATCGGTGAGGGCTCCAGAAAATGTGGGGATTTAATGTATTTGGTTCTGTTCAATTTGGTAAAGGTGTTATTTGCTGCTTTTTTCTGGTCTGCTGTTTTTTTTTTTTTTTTCAATAACTGATGGTTCATATTGGCAATTATGAATGCTTATCATTAAACTATAGGCAAAAGTGAGTAATAGTTTCTCTAGTAAAAAAAATACATGAAAAAATGATAGAATATTTATTGACTTTCTTCAAGAGTACAGAGTAAGTTCAACCAGATACTAGTTTTGTGAAACATTGCTAAAAGTGTGTGGATATGGAAATAAATGGGATGTTTCATGTTTCAATAGATATGACACTGATAAAATCTGTAAAACTACATTGTTTGCTTTTTGATTTTCAGATCAATGCTGTGACCCCACTGGCCCCTGAACCTGCCCTTCGCCCCTTGCCTCAAATCAGCACTTCACTCCCATCGAGTCGCCTGCCTTCCCAAAGACGCTCCACCAGCACCACCAGTCCTCCTTTAGAACCCGCTCCCCTCGGGCGCATCAGCCAGACCCCCTCGCACCGCTCTGCCCCAGGTCTGGTCCTGTACACAGAGAGCCCCGTACGCCTCAGCTCCAACCGCTCCCACTCCAGTGAACCGGACGGCACTTCCAGACCGCGGCGGGACGGCTCCAAGGCCCAAAGCAGGTCCCTTCCTCCTCCTCGCTATGCTCCCCGACCGCAACCGTACAGCAGCGCGGGCTCTTCAGAGAGGCCGCTGTCGTCGCTGGTCAAAGCTCAGGACAGGACCCAGCTCCCAGCACCCAGCCCCAGGACCAGACAGAGACCAGAGGAGCATCAGCTACTGGGCAGACCACGGCAACCGCTGCAGAGGGGCGCCATGGAGAGGACCAGCTTTTGGATTTAGGAGAGGACAGGAACGTACATTGCAAACTACATTCTTTTTGGGTTGATCATATATGGAGCTGTAAAGTGGGCGGCGTTTAGAACATTTCATATTATCAAGAGTTTGAAGACTATCGATCTGCTGACTATTACCTACAGCGCAGGGGTTTCGGCCAAAAGAAAAACATTAAAACACAAAGCCCTGTGGTTAGTAACGTGTGATAGACCTACTGTGTGTATATAATTGTGGTCTTGTGGTCTGGAATTTTTAGGCTCCACCCACTTTGCAGCTCCATACTGAATGTTTTCCTTTTCTAGTTTAATTTATTTGAGGTTCACTATCTAGCTTTCCTGGTTTGGGGTTTTGCTTCTTGTCTCTATATGTGAATTATGAGATTATATACATGTTTCGTTTGGAATGATTGAATGACAGCATTTTCTTTTGATGTTTTTTTTTGCGTTGTCTTTGCTCTTTTACACAGAGCGGGACTATTTCTTTGCCCGATGGCACTTGCCTCAATGGAGATCATCCTCTACTAGAAAAGATATTTACAGTACCATACAGACTTTATGAAGTTCAGTTTGCCTCTGGGAGAGTGTTCCTGCCATCGAAAGGACATACTGTATCTACTCGTTTATCTTTGCAGTAAATATACCAAACTCAGGGAGGAGCCGAATTAGTTTGAAACCCTGAAAATTGATGTTATTGTTACATATTTGACCTCTTTGCAGTGTGTGTGTGTGTGTGTGTGTGTGTGTGTGTGTGTGTGATCCAGTAACCAAAGCCTTGTACAGAAGTCCTTACAGTATTTTTTTATATGTATTTTTTCTCACCCATACTTTTACATTTGGCTGGAATCAGGACCAAGGTCAAATATATATATTTCAACAGTATTGTGTTGCGTTGCCAAGTATGCCCTCTGCCCTGCATTTTTGTCTAGTACAGTGGAATTTTCTGTCATTAACCTTCGAACTTGGGTCATCTTTTTTTCTTATTTGTGTTGCAAATGCTAAATCCTTTATCCATTTCTTCTCCAAGCAAGAGCAATCACTGAGTATAATTGTTTTAACGCTGACCTATGCCATAATAGTACAATGATTATATGCACGGTGCATTAACAGCGACGTTCCAATGCATTGACAGCTTGCTTTTTTAAAACTTATTTTTTATTTCCTGCTGAAGCCATGTCTGCATTTTCAAGCCAGTCTGATTCCCACACCCTTTAGCCTCCTATTGCCACCTGAGAACGTAACAATAAGGTGTTGACAAAGTGCATTTTTGGCCAGCTCAAGCTGCCAAAGTCCAATGTTTACATGTCTGTGCTTTTATGTGTCTAAATTAATAAAGTTGTGCCTGTTTTTTTAATGTAAATAGACTTAAGTTTTATTATGAGTGCGCTGCCTTTACATATTTGAAAGCCTGTGGGTTGGTGATCTGACTGGTAATACAGGTTAAACCCAGACAGGCTGTCAAACATATGTTAATGACAAGACATCAAATGAATGGTCTCCTTGAGAAAAGCGCAACTCCAACCATCGCAGGAATTCCCCCAGCATTTAAAGAGACATGTTGGGCTAAATTCACTTGTTTGTGCTTTCCATGTTTCTACTTAGTTTCCTCGTCAAAAACAGCTCTTGAGTTGTTTTTATTTCCATATCAAGAACTTCTGGCACAAACATGTCTCCTTCAACTTCTGTCTAAAACCTCCTGCCTCAGTCCTGTAATAGTATGTCCTTGTACCAATAGCACACTCAAAGCAGGTTTTTTCCTTTTAAACTAAAATTACCCATGTACCAAATCTTTAAAAAAAAACTCCTTTAAGCAAATTGGTCCTGCTCTTATTTGAACTGAATCTTATTTGCATTCTGCTCCAAGCAAGAGCAATCACTCTTGTATTTAGCTTTCTATTATCTTATGATTGTATACATTGTTTTACTTGTTTGACCTGCCTAAGATGTGTAGGAGTGTTTCGCTACAATCTAGCACATTTACAATTTGTCTAAAACATGCATATGACTAATGTGTCGTTCCAAGAAAATATATGCATGGATAAAATAAATAAGGAAAATTAATGCAAACAAAATTAGAGTGAGATCCAGTTACTGTAGCTAAACCTGCACATAATGGTTACCCCCTCAAGTTGGCATAAAGAACCACAAGACACACACATCTTTGAAACACATAGGTATATTTCATCGGTTCAAACAGAATATCCATGTCTTCCTCTCGTGAGGTTTTCATGCAACATAAAAGAAGGGGATAGAAAGGGACGTAGAACACAATGTTTGATCAGAGGCAGTGAGAATAGCAAAAGATGAGATCAAGGGGAGTAGCAACTGTCGCTTTTCCTTATCCTACCAGCAGGAGGCAGTGTCACTATAGGATTCCTATAAAGCAGGAGTGCAGCTGGTCAGGGAAGCTCTTGTGCAAAATGTTCAATCATTTAACAGGTCAGATTTGTTGCTACGGAAGGCGTGCGTTGCCATTTTACCTTGCCACCGCTGTCATATGAGTGAGGAAGGGGAGCGAGACACATTATGGCTCATTATTGAAGATAGCAACGCACTGGGATTTTATATAAGATTGTAATACAGTGTTGGAGATAAATACGCACATGTATATACATTTTCTCCAATTATGCCTTGACAGTCATTTACTACAAATTTGATTTTGCAAAATAAAGACCAAAAGTGTGTATACAATTCACCATGAAAAAACGTGTCTTTGTGGATTCTCAAAATATTATACATTCAAGTATTTCACTTGAATACAGTACACCACCGTATGGTGTGTTTATCTGGTGGGTTGTAAACACACACTTGGTCTGCATTTTGCAAAATTAAAGCTCTGGAACCTGACATTCATACCATAATGGGAGAGTATGTATATAGACATACAATACAATGTTGGAATTACTTGATAAAGTCAAGTAAGAGAGTAAGTTTGTGTAAGCTCTCAGTCGTACAGGGATTAGTCAAAGCAAAGGAAGGTTTCTCACCCATCATCTGTACTTCTTAGCAAGTTTTCCCGACGTTTCGTCCTCAACCTAGCGGACTTCTTCAGGGAATGAATTCTCGGACCGCGCGTTGGAGATTTATAACCTATGGGTGTGGTTAGCCACACCCTAATCCTGATACTAACTCGTAAACAATCTCAGGTCTGCTTGATGTAGAAGGGAGCAGGTCTAACGACCCTGCTGAGGCTAACGACCCTAACTCCTTAGCATGTCACTGACCTATTGTCTGCTGGGATGCTCAAGTGGAGTGCAGGTCTCACCCCTCCTAACTCATTAGCATGTCACTGACCTTGTCCCAAGATAGGGCGTTGATTTTAGGATGTCGTCATAGATGCGAGGCAAAACAAAGAGAGTAACTATTTTGTTGCACTGCATTGACTTCATCAATTAAATACAAAAGGGCCGAGTTACATGGTAAAGGTTGAATAACATTGATTAATTTGATCAATTAAATCCAACACTTTTTTTCTTCGAGGGCATCGGAAATCACCCATGCTCAACTCATCAGTTCTCATCCCAAAGTGTCCATACTCTAGAATCTTGTTTTAGATCCATTTAAACCCTATACGGCATGTATCATTCTGATTTTGTCACAAGATTCTGCTTTACCAACGCAATCTCTGGGATCAAGCTCAAAAAGTTCACATTTTTGAGATTACAAAGAAATATAGCTTCCATTATGGGAGTGTCTGGAAAAGCTTATGGCTAATTGAATTGCTTTAAGTGGTTGAAGTGATCTGGCAACACAGCCTTTACAGCTGAAAACTGCAAGCGGCTTCAAGCGACAGTATAGATAGGTGGCAATTCGCTAGCATTAGATACTGTTAAAAAAAAACGAATTTATTTATGTAAACAAAGCAGCCTTCAGGAAAAAAAGTCTTAACATTTCATATCATGTAAAGTTACTCTGCCCTTTTTTACGTAATATTTCTTTATCTTAGGCTACTGCAACGGGCGCAGACATATCCAGGTTAGAAAAGCAGTCAGCTGGAAAGTGGTAAAAAGCCCTTAGTGAGTTCTGTCTGTCTGTCTGTCTGAAAATGAGAAATATATAGTGACAAAAAGACAATATTAAACTCAGGCTGCAAAAAAAAAAACGTCAGTATTTTTGTTGCCATGTTCTTCTTGTATAAGGAAGGATCATGCAGTACTAGTAGAAGTAGTAGTAGTGGTGGTAGTAGTAGTAGTAGTAGTGATGGTTTACGACTACACAATCATAAATTGACTGTTTGATTATGGAATGCAAATGAATAACAACACAATAATACTGTTAAATTTCCGCGTCAAGCATACAAGTGCGTGTCCACATGCACGGTTTTGCACACGGCACGACTGGACACAAAATGGCGGCGCAAAAAACCAAAATGTGCTTCCGGTGTGAAAAATGTGAATTGTTATCATCATCAACAACCACTTCACATTTTCTTCCCCATCCGGTCACAGCGTCATATACATATTCAACGTATCAAATGACAAGAATAAAAATCGTGAAATAAAAATGAAGAACAGAATATGTACAAAATGAGAAATAACAAAAAAACACGTTGATAAAAATCTAAAGTTTACGATTGTTTTTTGTTTGTTTTTTGAGTATGTACCCAAACTTTCAAAACAATCGCTGTACGCTACATAATACTGCCTTGTCAATGTGCACGAACTTGAGGACGACGAAATTAAAGCAGCGCTACGTAAGTTTTGTGGTGGAGGGTCTGCCGCCTGCTTCTGATCCAACGGAGAAAATATGTCGCCGAGAACATTCCGGGATATGGTTTTCAAACTGCGTAATCTTTAAAGCTGGGGTACGTAACTTTGACACGGAACCGATACAATTTTACCGTCGCTTTGTTAAAGTAAAATCAGACCACAACATGCTGTTTCCATCTTGTTATATATAGTATTTGCAAGCTTGTAGGAAAGAGCCCTGTGAGTCACTTTTTGACGCTTTGGGCTGGGAGCTGATTGGCTGAGTGACGGTGGTAATCTTTTTTATCACTTTTCTGCCCGAAACAGCTGATCTCAAGATGTGACAGAAGCCAAAAATGCATCCGTGGTGTGAAAACTTCAATAAAAATAACAACAACAAAAATGCTTTTTTGTAGTTGGAAAAATTAGGTACCTCAGCTTTAGTTTGACTACATTAACTTGAAATACATGTGTTTTTGTTGGTTGAATTGGCTCTCTCCGCTCCACAGATCTGAGCTGTCATTTGGCTAAAACAACGGCAGAAGCCAGACCCACCGCCGCCAAACGTCACTCAACGCAACTTTTCAACGATATAAATAGACATTATATATACATGATGTACAAGAGAAAATCATATGAAAAGTGAGAATGCGACGCCTCTCAAGTCAAAACAGACAAATAAGCAAACGCAAAACAGCTTAATTCAAAGATCCGTTCTGGAACAAGAGCAGACGTTCTGGCAAAAAATGTCCCTTCCTTTTTTACACAAAATATAACTTCATCCGGTGAAAAAATAACAACAACTCCAATGAACTGATATGAAAACGAGAGACGAGAACCTTCATGCATTATTTCGAAGTGACTGTTTCCGTGGTGACAGAGGCGGTGGGGGGCCGAGGGGGCGGGGCTTCAGAACTGGGAGGCGGAGCTGGGGTCACACTGCAGTAGCCGCACGATGGACGGGTCGCTTTTGGCACCTTTGATGAACTCCTCCAAGGACAGTTTTCCTACATGGGCACAAAGTAGGGAAAGAAGTTTAGACTTTTTTTATTCAAGTTTTAGTATTATTTAATTTATAATCTCATACCTCGGGTCTCTAAACGACAACCTGCACTGTTAAATGTCTATTGTGTGTATTTATATATTAGAATTTTATTAAGATTCTTATTTGCATACATTCATAACTATTTTTTTTCTTCTTGATAACTAATTTACACCAGATACAGCCATTGTCTAACAAAGCAAATCCATATTGTGACATTCTATTGCCAAGGTTTAACAATGGTCATAAAAACAATGCTGATTCTCATTTTGAAAAAGTGTGGCATGTTAGCATATTGTTTAGCATAGCCCAGGAATTATGCATTCAGGATAACCATGGCAACTTTGTTTGAGGGAAATATTTAGTTATGCATTCAATTCATTTATTTGACCCTTATAGCAATTTTTACCTAGTCCCAATAGCTTCCGTTCATGTGACATCACAACATTTGAAAGCGCCAATAGTTTAGAATTCTTGTGGAAGGCTGTTGTTAAATCATTCCTGGTAACTATGGTAACTTCTGTAAATCCTGGGCCAATCTACATGAAACAATTGTCACAAAGTTCCACATAGTCTTTGTCAGGGCACATCAATTATGGTCTGAATATTTTCTCATAAAGGTGTTGATGTGGTGGAGACAGTAATCAAAGACATATGCCTGATTTTGTCCAGTAGAAAGGACTTACAGACATAATTTATGGACATTTATCATCATTTGTGGATAATTTATGGACATTGATCATCTGCCCCTTAAGGCTCTGTATGTTTTTTAGTTAAAAAGGTTGAATTTCTGATCTGTGTGGGAGTTTTGTTAAGTTCTCAAAGATAACTACAGATAACAACTGTTGTGATTTAGTGCTATACAAGAATACATTGAATCAGAATAATGCGGCAGGTTTGTGAATCTTTACCACAATCAGGTATTGATCTTGGAAAACATTTGGCATTTTCTTTCAAAAATTGCTTCTTTTATAGAGCGGTATTGGTACCTGCCCTCCCGCTGAAACAGAATTCTAGAACATGTACGCAACCTGTTACATTGAGATAAAAACAATAGACAGATGGGAAGAAGTGAATCATGTTGGAAAAGTCCCAGTAACACGGCATTCACGACATTTTAGACCAAGACAAGGCAATTTCATATCTCATTTAATTATTTTTTAATTTAGATTTGTGGTTCAGTGGAGTAAAACTAACAACCTCCAGCTGAACGCATCGAAAACATGTGAACTGGTCTACGACTTCAGTCGCAATAGTTCTCATTTGCCTGTCGTAATCGACAACTCCCAGGTGCAGATTGTAGAGGAGTGCAAGTTTCTGGGTTTAACTCTGTCTAACGACCTGAAATGGGTTAAAAACACTGACCGAGTCGTTAAGAAAGCTCGTCAGCGTCTCTACTTTCTGCGTAAACTTAGAGAATTTACCACTAACTCTAAGATTCTGCTTAACTTTTATCGCTGCACCATTGAGAGTTTACTTGTTGGTTCTGTGTCTGTGTGGTTTGGAAACATCACAGATAAAGAAAAGAGCTTTAAACAAGGTGCTCCGCCCTGCAAAGAGGACCGTGGGCTGTGAGCTTCCTGTTCTGGAGGTTCTTTATAAATCCAGACTTTTAAACAAAGCTCTTAGGATTGTCAATGACTCTTCTGGCCACCCTGGGAAAGCCATGTTTCAGCTTCTTCCCTCTGGCAGAAGATATCGCTCTCTGAGATGCAGGACATCTCGTTACGCAAACAGTTTTTAGCCACAAGCTGTTATCAGTGTGAACAGAGCACTTTAATGATTTGCACTTGTTTTGAACTGTTTTAGTCGATCGATTTCACAGTGACTTTTGTTTACTGTTTTATTTGTTTTATTTGTGTCTTTTAATGTTGTTTTATGTCTGTATTTGTCTGTGCACACTGGTGACTTTTGCTAATGTATTCCAATGTGGTGTTTTTACTGCAAATGGCAAATAAACTGAATCTGAATCTGAATCTAGCTTTTCAGTTTAATAAGATCTTAATACCAGGGTCAAGGAGTATCAGCTTATACCTTCATTTCAGGGTTAGTTTTTTTGCGTTAGTTTCACTTTCCTATATTTTTTCATCTTTCCAGAGACACTTTTGTCCTGGAGCAAGTGGTTCAGTGGCACCACATATACATCCAAAAGTATCATTTGTTTGATTGTAAAAACGTATGCATCTAAATACGGTGAAAAGGTCATTTGTGGCCCCCTAGTGGAGATCAGTGTTAATGTCAGTGCTACCCCCACTAGGTGTCTGGGCTAATAGGACTTGTTATACACAATTTTAAAGCTAATTTCATGATAAAAAACAACCGCAACATGTATATTATTATAAACATTGAACCTTAAACGCAATGAGTACGAATGTATTGTCATTTTTCCCATTTCCGGTTTGTTTGATATTGATGTTATGATTTTAATTGGCTTTTAATTAGTAAAACAGGGAGTGAAGCAGGATACAAAACAATCAATTTGACGTCATTTGTGAAAATGAAAAAAAAAAAACAATATTGAAATGCTGATTGAGCATAGATCTAGGCCATGCTATAATTATTTCAGCAGGCTCAAAATGTCTAGTGGATATTTATAACCTCAAACTTCCACATTGTGCTCCCTGATTGGCTAACCCTAAACCAGCGTAGATCGCCTGCTAATGTCGCCCCTCAGTTTCCATCTAAGTGACACACATTTAAATAAATAATGGTCAGTATAAACTGCAATCCTCTGGCTCTCTCTTTCTCTCCCTGGCTCTTTCTGTCTGTCTCTCTCTTTGTCTCTCTCTGTCTGGCCCTCTCTCTGTCTGGTCTCACTCTCTCTCTTTTTCTCTCTCTGGCTCTCACTCTGTGGTTCTCTCTCTCTCCGTTGCTGTCTCTCTCTCCCTATCTCTCTATCTCTCTCTGTCTGGCTCTCTCTCTCTTTCTCTGGCTCTCTTTCTCTGTGCTCTTTCCCCACGCTCACCATCATTATTGAGATCCATTTGTCTGAAGATCTTGTCCGTTCTCTTCTCCGGCGTGGACTCGTCTTCAGGCATCTTCATCACAGAGGACACCATCTTGTAAATGGCCTGAGGGACACAAGGGACATGGTTACTTACGTTGAAGACTATCCATCCATCCATCCATCCATCCATTTTCTACCCTTTTAATCCATTTCTGGGTCAGGGGGGTGACAATCAGAGATGCCACCCAAGTCTCATAGCACCAGCCCCTCACTGACCCTCTGCAGGTGGTGAGTCCACAGGAGGACGGCTGCTCTCTGAGTGTGAGCATAGCCTTGATCTTTCAGTGGGGGCTTTGGGCAAAGTGGGGTTAAGTGTCTTGCCCAAGGACACAACGACAGCAGTCATCAGTGGGAGTCGGTGGAGAAGGTGTAGAGGTGGGAATAGAACCCACGACCTTCAGGCCTGAAGGCCAATGCTCTACCAACTGAGCTAATGTCGCCACATCTTCGATACGTTGAAGACTATAGAATTATATTTCATTTGTCCTTTGGAAAATTGTCCTTTGTATTTGACCCATCCTACAATGCCTCTAGGGCCTCTGTCAGAAGCATTGGTTGTTGCAGTACAACGCCCGAGGACCCAGCTCCAGATGTTGATTCTCGGTCAGGGTGTGACCTATGTGTTTAGTGGTAGGGGAAACCGGAGCGCCTGGAGGTAACATGCAAACCACTCAGGAACTCGGAAAGATAGAATATTGTTCAAACTATTGTAGTGCAGAGCCAGCCTTAAATTAGCTCACAGCTTGTAAAACCCCAAAATAAAATATCTTAGAAAAAAATGAACTAAACTTTACTGTACATCTGGCAGAGAATACTTTCTACTTTACTTCAGAGCCATTATCTATACTCTCTGCTTCACTACATTGTCTTTTTGCTTGACTGAACTGATTTTCAAGAGTGTGTTTATTATCCCACCTCTATCATGGTCTGCTTACAAATGTAATATTTTCAAATCGCTAAACACAATTACTGTAAGTTAATAGTCAAAATTCTACTAAACTTTTGAACTTTCTTTAAATCTGAAGTACCTCGCTTTTTGATATGGATAAAACACAATATTTGTCATCTTCATCTTGGAAAAACACAATTTCTCTCTTTGTGCTGATTGTTGAGTGAGGGTGGTCCTCTCTTTTGCACCTTTCTGTCTGAAAAATCTGATCTAATGATGTGACAGAGGCCAAATCTGCATGTGAAAACTAGACACAAACTGTTTCAAGAGCGAGGAACTAGTTAAAAGGGTTTAATTAGTTCTATTGTTTATGTTTTGAAAGTAAGATTTTGAGGCGGAATGTATGGATTTCAATAGTATAACAATATCACTTTGTCTGACATTCTCATGTTAATAATAATAACAATAAAAATGATACATCAGTTTTATCTAGCGCATGTCAGGACACTCAAAAGATGTTTCACGTTCATTCACTCCTTGCATGGTGGTGATAAACTACTACTTTAGCCACAGCTGCCCTGGGGCACACTGATAGAAGCGAGGCAACCAGTATGTACCAACAGCCCCTTTGACCACCACCAACCTCCTTCTAGACTCAATCTGGATAAAATGTCTCGCCTAAGGACACAACAACAGTTTCCCCCTCCCATCACAGCACTAACCAAGCCCAACCCTGCTTAACCTCAGAGGTCTGACAGGATATGGCTTTCACATGCAGGTATGGCCCCAAATGTAGTGGACTATAGTGACACAAATGTATAGTCTTAAATCTACAAACAACATCCCCAGCCACATCTCTCTCACAACTCTCTGGTCTGGTGTTTAATTGCAGCATTCATTGAAGTGTGCATTGATAAGATTGATAGCGAGCCAACACTTGTCACACACTATGCAGCTGTATCTCGCTCTTGACAAAATGGCCACGGTGATAGAGATCAGGTTGTTATTGGCGTCTTGGTTGGAGGCGGAGGAGCTGGATCACATCTTGTATTGTATTGACGTGAAACATGTTTTATCTGCTGTGATACAAGAGCGTCCTGTCCTGTGGCCGTCGTAAATGAACCCGTCTGAGTGCGGCGCCTGCTGAGTCCACCGTTACACTCCACAGCCACGTCTGCCCTGCTGCTGGGAGGGCACACCACCATTATACTGCGTTTGGAATATGGCAAATGTAGGAATATAAAAATGTGTACAGTATTGATGATTAAAATGTCTTGGGATAAATGACAAGCAGGTTAAAACTATGCTTATGGGAAAATCAAGCTTGTAGCAATTCATCATAAGTAATATTCTAGTGTGTTTTATGTTTATATTTTTTAATTACCTGTTTTAAATTGTAATCTTTTAAGTCATTATTATTATATTGTAAATGTTTTAAGTAAGTTGGCATTTTACACCTTGCCGGGACAACTGCTGGAAACTTGCTGTACAGCTAATACTGACGCATTTACAGAAATGTTGATTAATGTGAACTGTCTTTATTCAAATAAAATAAATACAAAATAAATAAATAAATTAGCGTAAAGTGTATTTCGCAAGCAAGTTTATATTTCAATAATAACACCAGCCTATACAAACTTATAAACTGGAACAATGCATCTGTTCCTTTGAGTTTAATGTTTATACAGTACCTGTACATCGTCTCTGTTTGTTTAAAAAAACTAAACTAGAGCAATGGTTTACAGTGTTTTTACAGGAAACGAAATGTCTAACTTCGAATGAGAAAATGGCTTGTCTCATTGTACAGAATGTTTTCAAATTGAGATAATAACCTCTTGATTCAAGCATATATAACCTCATATTTTACATTTTTTGCAGTGTATTTATACATTTTCCTCAGCCTTCATTCAACGCCTTAATCGTGTTGTTTTAGAATCTAACAAACCAACTAAAACAAAAGCAGTTCCAGGGCCAAATGTACCAGTAAACAGCATTGATTACAACACATTCAAGTAAACTCTCTGACCTTCTGAACTAAAAGGTCAGTGCATTTGCCTTGAACAAATATAATGGCTCTGCAGGGAATTCAATTGTTTGTTGTTAATTATCGGTTTAACACTCCTCCAGTCACAACAGAGAGCGCTAGTTTATCCAGATCTGCAGAGACGGGAAAGAGAGGCGCTGCTCTGCATGGGCGAGACGAGGGGTCTTTTGAGAAGCTAAAGTTTAAAAAGTAAGCAGCGTCATGAACAAAATCAGATCAATATATGTAAAATAAATGTCAAAAGCGCATCTCATTCTGACCCAATCTCATGTTTAATAGTAAAAATGATGTGAATTTTTTTTTTTGCTTCTAACAATATTGACCATTGAAAGACGCAGGGCTCAAGGGGTGGAACATAGTTGGAATCGATAGTGGGATAAACAGTTCACTTCTTCGTATTTATTTATTTTAAAATATGTAAGAAAAGGGAAAGTCACAATTTCAAAATAGTTACAATCATTGTGAGAAAAAAACACCATGTTTAAACTAATATCTCGTTGGCATCTTGTTTGTTCAGCACTTTGAGTTTCTCTGTGTATGAATTATTCTATACATATAAACTTTCCCTGCCTTATCTCTTAATCCTGTCTTCACTATTATAAATAAGCTTTTTATTCAGCTTCGGAATGGCCTGGGTGATGCTTTAAAATATTTCAGCTCAATTGTCACGGGACAAAATGATATTAAAATTGAAAAAATATATAACCCTAGAATAAAACAAATGGTATAACACATTAACATCATTATTGAAAATATAGAATTAAAAATACTATTATAATAAAAGTTGCTTTTGGTAAACCTGCGCAACCTGCAAATTTATTGTTGATTCTAAATCTTTAAATGACCTTTAACCTTTTGTTTTGCTTTCAGTGTTTTATCTTTTGTAAGACGACCTTGAGTGCCCAGAAAGGCACCTAGTAAAATAAAATGTATTTTATGTCATGAATTCAAAATAATTGATTTTCATACAGTTGTATAGCACTGTCTACATTTAATGAGGATTGTGTTGCCAAAACACATGGGACATATGATATACACACATTCCTGCAATCTTTCCCCACTCTCTGTTTGAGGAAAAAAACAGATCCAGGGACAGGCTTGAACAACATTTATATGCTTATTTGATTAATTAAAGGAATATACATTAAATTCATCAATGGAATGATTCAAAATCCATGACACAATATTCTCTATTCTCTATAAAAACATATAAAACACTTGTTTTTTAAATATTTATTTTAAGAATAGAATATTTTCTGCAACATGATATAAAAAATTGCATCTAGACACACGCGCTCGTCTCAACACACCTGATATAAGTTGTATTAAAATCTGTAATTTAATTGAAAACTTGAGCTCATTGATTCAACTTTTGTATGAATTCAGGCCGTAAAAAGTGCTGAGTAAGAAACTTAGCGTGACGCTCGCTCTCCTCCAATCACAAAACGAGGAGCGGCGCTGTTACGAACAGGCTGCCTCCTCTGGCCTCTACAGCGCTGGTAAACACAGCAGCATGGAGCTGATGGCGGCTATACCTCCTCTGTCTGGAACTATGTTATGGAACTAAAGCGAAAATCAAGCAATCTAGCAGAACTTTGCGTTTGTTGCTCTAATGCTGATGTTTTTATCATATGGTGCTTTGGTTACCCTGCATATCTTGCATATTGAATGTTTATTCTAAATCTTTAAATATGTCGTATTTGTATACAGGTCAAACTTCAGCCTAAACTTACAAACAAAATAAATCACAGAATAAATTTAAATAAATGAAAGAAATGAAACTGGATATAAAACTGGTACTTGTGCCCTATCTCCTCCCATCACAGTTGTGCGTGTTACGTCCATGTTCCAACACTACACTACTATCCAGCGGTGTGTAACCTCATTGAGCTGTCGGATTATCCCAGTATTCTGCCTACTCAGGGATAAACCCCAAGGTAAATTTAACTTGCTAATCCATAGAAGTACATAAGTATACAGTCACTTATCACTGGCTCTGGCTCTTTGTCTGGCTCTGGCCTCCAGCTCTAGGGAAAGTCCATCTCAGCTTTTTCACATATTAAAAGTGATTTGCTCCTTCGTTGAAAGCGTCGGTGAAATTTGCAGCTTCACCTACGACACATCCCCGGCTTATTTACTTGCTACATTTCAATAAAAAAATAGTAATACTCCAGGGAAGCCGTGATACTAATGGTCTGAAGATACAGTATATACTGTACGGACACACGTTACAAAACTCATTCACGGCATATTGTTGAATAAATGTACAATATCGTTATGAAGAATATATGTTTTAATTGTCTGCATTTTTTATTTGGAATTTTGGATACACATTTATATCTTCCTTGTCGCACAGAACAATTTTTCGCTTTTGGTTAACAAGCCATTTTTACATCAATATTGCATGGCCAAATTGTTTTCTTTTTTTGTGTCATGGTGAAGGTGTAATTCCAGTTTTATTTTGTAACTCGTTGACCCCTGAATCTTCCTTATTTCTACTTCCTGTTGTGTCTCCTTAGTCATTCTGTGTTCTGTATTCACTTCCTGTTCCGTCATTACCATTTGCCTATTTGTCTTTTTTTTTTTCTTCACCTTTTTTCTTGTGATCTTAAAGTGTGTTTTTAAATGCCCTGTGGGATTTTAATGATATATATTTTTTATGTTTATGTAGATTTTAATATTTATGCTTTGTGCTTGATGTTTTGCCTTGTGTATAAAAAGGCCCAATACAAAAAAAATATATAGTTGATTGATTGATTGTCTTATTTTGGCAATCCTGCAGTTTGGGTTTACTTTCCTTTGCATTGTGTCATTTTTACTGCGGCACCAAAACCACAGAAAACCACAGACGTAACCCAGACGCAGCCTTCCTCTGAGCTGTGAAGAGCATTTCTCCGTCTCTAATGGAGCCGTGCACTCCTGGTCCTAATAGGGCTGTCAGCACATTAAGCACGCTGATTAGTTTCCTCATATCAAGCCTCTTTAAACGCTCTCTCCATTCAACGCAATTACTTAAATAATTAACCTAGGCACTTATCAAATTCATTTACTTTCTTATTACTCTTAATTTAAGGAATATAAATGCATCCGCCCGACCATGCATTGGTTGTTTAAAATGTACATTATTTGAAATTGTGAAGGGTAAAAACAGGTTTCTGGTTCTGGTGTGACCATCTATAACGTATGGATTTAGAGAAAAGAGAAACACGGTGAAGAGCTGGCTTATGTTAATTTATTTTTTTACCATGACCTTACTTTCTACTCTTCATTTTTAAGTCTATACAAAAGTGAATAGGCTCGTCTAAACCAAACAATTGTAAAAAAGCGATAGTATTTCCATGATATGTTTTGACGGAATAGAAGAATCAAATTCATTTACTTAAGAAAACAAGATGAATCTTCCTAAACTTTTAACTTTATGATTTTAACCTTTTTTGTTGCTTTCAGTGTTTTATCTTTTGTAAGGCAACCTTGAGTGCCCAGAAAGGCACCATATAAGATCAAATGTATTTTATGTCATGAAGTGAAAATAATTGATTTTCATACAGTCTGGGACATACAGTATATGACATTATAAACACTTTATACACACATTCCTGCAATCCTTCCCCACTCTCTGTTTGAGGAAAAAAACAGATCCATGGACAGGCTTGTACAACATTTATATGCTTATTTGATTAATGAAAAGAATATACACAATATTCATCAAGTGAATGATTAAAAATCTATGATACAGTATTCTCTATTCTTAAAAAATATATCAAACACATGCTTTTAAAATATTTCTTTTAAGAATAGAATATTTTCTTTAACATGATTTGAAAATAATGCATCAAGACACACGCGCTCAACACACCTGGACCGTCCCACCTTCCAACCAACCAACCATAGCGCTAGGCCCAGATGTGCCGGGTCTTGCACTGGCCTGGCCATAACGACAGAGATGGCCGTGTTGAGGAAACTGGCTATTTGTGTTGGATTTGACCAGTTCCTGATATTATGGATGGATGAAACTACGCCACGTCTGTTTTTGATGAGGGAACACTGTTGTAACATAGCTAACAGCTTGGAAATGTACATTATCAATTTCTGTTTAATTTAAATGATTGGACTAAAATGAACAGTAATGTAAATAGTAGCTCATACCTTCTCCCTATAAGAAAAGATTAGATGAGATAAACCTTTATTCGTCCCTCAGAGGGGAACTTTCAATGTCATAGTTACATAGCTACTTCATGAGAAACGATAAAGCTCGAATACCTAACTTTTCCGTCTAATCAATAATACATGTTGTGTAGTAATTGTAAAACATTGGGAACAAAACAGTTTACCGCATGCTGTGCTTATATTCAAACATTATCATTTACATACTTATGTAAGAAGCAATGTGACGTCACTGTTTGACGCTGTGAGGTGTAAGGTGATTGGCAGAGTGAGGGTGGTCCTCTCTTTTTTCACATTCCTGTCAGAAAATCAGATCTAAATCTCTCATAGAGACTGCCAAATACATGTGAAAACCAGTGATGAAACCAAGTAATTAGATAGGGTGCCTAAGTTGTAGTAAAATCTATCTTTAAAGCAACACCAGACCCCCTGCTGGAGAACTAGAGTACTACAGAATGCAGTCATGACTTTGTCCGACCATGTTACCGTCCTGTACCTGTACAATCTCCAGCATCTCGTCGCGGCTGATGTACCCGTTGCCGTCCAGGTCGTACATACTGAAGGCCCACTTGAGTTTCTGCTCCAGTTTTCCCCGAGACGTGACGCTGAGGGCGATGATGAACTCCCTGAAGTCTATCGTGCCGTCAGCGTTGGTGTCAAAGGTACGGAACACGTGCTCGGCGAACTTGGAGGCGTCGCCGTAGGGGAAGAAGTTAGCGTAGATCTTTTTAAACTCCTCCACGTTCAAGGTCCCACTGGGGCAGTCTTTCAAGAAACCCTGTGTGGGAAAAGAGAAGAGGATTGTTGATAGTTCAAGTCGCTCATTCAAACATTTGGTAAGAATGAAGAAGGTTTAGGACAAGTTAGAAATTCTAATAAATGCTGAATACCTTTTTTTTACTGAATTTTGTGAATATTGTATGTTTGTAAGTGGTTTGTCTATACTTTTGTTGTTGGTTGTCATTTTTTTATGTGGACCATTTATGTATTTGATTTAAAGTGGTAATATGTGAGATTTTCATGTCAAGTCATCACCCTAATCTGTCAAAAGGTATTAATATATCATGCTCTGTTCGAATACTTCTTTAACAGTAGTTCAGCCGGTATACTCGGATTTCAAAATGTGTTTTACAGCCCCTAAATATTGCTATTGTCTCGCCCTCCACTGTTTTACCAATCGGAAAGTCACTGATCCGGGTTGCCAGAACTCACCGCGTCAAGCTAAGGTGTTGGTCATAGATTTGTTGTTGACAAAACTCTTGTCTATTCAGATATTATAGTCCTAGCTGGATTTGTCTGCATATCTGGCAACCTGAGTCAGGGAGAGTGGGAGAGGTTGCAGTACCACTTTTGGCCAGATTTTTACATACTACTCCTCCTAAAGAAAAAAAGACAAAATAAAACCGCTTTTTTTCATACTTCAACAAATTACTTAGAGATCTTTTTTAACACAGTATCTCTATTTACATGCAGTTTTGAACCTTTTCCCAGTTTATAACTTAAACAATTAGTACTGAGTCAATATTCAGTAACGTAGTCGATATTATATCATTTGAATATAAAAGATGGCAACAAATTTAGAGAGCCCCATGTGGAAAATGAGAGGTAAAATCTCTAAATAAAGGTCAACAAATAAACAATAAATTGAACACATGGAGGTCTATGGAAGTGGCGGACGTTTTGTGTGCAGATAAATGCAATATAACCGAGTGATTGGTTTCCATAACAAACATCTGCTGTGTGTGATGTCACGCCTACAGGGACTAGTATTACTGCTGGCATTGCTGCTATTTTGATGCTATAGAGAGGAAACAACAACAAAGCTTATGTCCATCTCAAATTTCAGTAACATTGCATCCAAGAAAAATACAGCTTTTTTTCTCCCCAGCAGATGTACACCAAGCATTCAATCAAAGAAATAAAAATAGACTAGTTTGAGTGTGTGCATTTAGCTTTGGTCTGAACAATGGGGCTGGAAAGTGGCCGTTTGCTCAGGTTTTGCAAGTCTACAACGAGAAAAAATACTAATACTAAGAGTTCGAAAACATGGCAGAAGATAGCTAGCTACAGTATGTGATCATTCTTACTAACCACAGCACAATTCAAATGTACAATTCTGCAAAATGTGTTCATGAGCAAACTCTTCTTCATCTTTCATAATCGGAAATATCCCTATACCTGGGAGTGATTGGGCAATTTGCATCAATTGGACTTGGACAGTTTCACCTCAGCATTCATGATAATAATACTAAAGTAAGTAAGTGTTGATTATTTTTACAGACCAAGGTCACCCAGAGCTTTACAATGTTCAGAATTCAGATGAAACACATAAATCATACATATGCCGCATCCCATTAAATAATACATCAAACATTTGGACTACTAGACTCTTTGATGACTTGGACTTGGACCAATGAATACACACACACACAAACGTCACTTATCTGTCAACAACAACAAAAAGGTTTTAGAAATATATGATGGGATATTGAAAGTGAAAAGCAGAAAAAAGGCACTACATTCCATATCACTGAAGATTCCACAAGCTAAAATAGCATTATTAGCTAACCATGAGATGTGGAATAGCTCTCTGGCCTGCTCCAAAAAGCATGACCATCTCCTCTGCTCTGACTCACATTTGATAATATCTAATTGTGAACAGAGAGAATAAAGAGAGATAAAAGTCACGCCTGTCCTGCTTTTGTTCTGCAGAAATACCATTTTTAACTACAGCTGCTACGACACAGGCGGGGAAATGTCTTCTTCCATACCGGCGGTTTGCGAGTACTTGACAATTATATTAAAGAAAAAGGCCACAGACGTAACTTTTATTATGAGTCTGGCATTTTCTTTCCTTGAAGCGGAGTTTGAGGACGCACAATGTTTTATTGGCTCTACAATCCCCACAAGAGATACGCAGTATAAGCCGGTTTAAAATGTGTCTGGGCTGGAAACTAATACTGGTTTGAGGGTTCTTCTGTGAACTTTCTCTAAACAGCAAAACTTTATATGAGGATGCATTAACTTCAGCGCCTTGAAAAAATTTCCACTTTATGTCTTGCAATATTCACACACATCAAGATATATTATTGTCTTAAAGTTATATGGGAGATTTTCCCAAATTTTAGGAAAGAACTGCACAATTTTTTTTTAACAAAGCTCTCAGGATTTATTTGACGAGCACGTATCACCAGAATGATTGACAATTGGGAGGACCAATAGTCTTGATTATCCACCCGGAAGTAGAAAAACCTCCTATGTACCTATAATATGTTAAGACTGTTAAACCAAGCCTAACTCTAGTATTTATGGTTGTGTGTACTTATATCTACTAGTGTATGTTCTATGTGAATCTTGAAATACCAAAACAAAATGGCCGAAAATGTTAAAAACCGAGAGTGCAATGACGTTTCCTCTGGCCCTGGTACTTCACTCTTGGCGTGATCGTGTCAACAGAACTTGCTAAATCCCACGGTAGAGTGTGAACTCAGGTCGAAGGCACATTTTACTTTACAGCTTTTTATCACATTGTGTTGGTCAGATAAAATGCCAAATGAGAATGTTCAGGCTTCTGATGGAAAACAAGACTAAACATGTTAAGTTTATGGTAATGTTAGAATACTTTCACAAGGCACTGTAACTGAATTTATTGCATATTACTTGCTAGGATCTCCGTAAACCATCAACTTTACCAAGGGACTCCTGCTTTTCCATGTAAATTATATATTTCTTCCATGTTTTACAGACCAGGCTGAAAACACAGTCACCAGCTTGTGTTGCAAATGAAAACTGAATTAAATTGACTTATCCCTTCATATACATTCAATATTGGAGGGTAATTTGTCTCTTAACTCTTTAATGGTTTTCGCAACCATTTGGTGGATCACTTCTTGAGTCACTGCATCTATTTGAAGCTTGGAATTTAAATCTAACTCTTTGGGGTTTCTCTATCACTTGGTTTTAGTCACTTTTACCATCAAACTGCATCTCATCTATTTGGTAAAATAATTTGTGTTATTATTAGTACTCCTACATCTTGGAAAATCAAAAAAAAGAAAAATCGATATTAAAGGGTTGAAGGGTTAAAACAAGCTAAGTAAATCATAAGGTCAAAAAAGCTGCTTCCATCAGGGCAGAGGCAAACTACATTGTGTACCAAGATCCAAGGGCAACAATAGAAGGTAGAAATGGTCCTCTTCATTAATAAGTGTGTACCTTATTGTTTTTATTGTATTCATATATGTATTAACCAATGTAGTCAAAATGAGTCATGGCAAAACATACAACCTACTGTATGCAACCGATACAGCCCTATGCTATTTCTCATCTCCTGTCCTTGGTTGCGCTTTCCCCTAAAAGCAAATTGTCAATGCAACATCCTTGAAAGGCTTTATTCATTGCATTGAGAATTTTCTCCGGGGCGGAAGAAATGACGTTACCTGCATGTGCAAGTAGATTCACACAGAAACATTGAAATACCTTGAGCAGTGACCAGTACAGGCTTGAGGTTATGGCCTTTGATTACACAGCTGCCCTCAACATTAATCTTTGCATTTTAAGCCACAGAAGCGTTCCAACAATCACTCGCCCATTTGTGCAAGAAGACAGTAGAACAGCTACAGTGACACTTTGTCACGCTAGTATTTAATCTAGTCCTCATCTGGATAATCAGACTATGTAGGGATTCTATAGGGTAAACATTGACAGCTTACAGGATCAGCAGTGAGCACACAACAAATGGCAAATGAACACAACATTAGGTCAGAGTGTTGTCCGTCCTTTAAAAAAAAAAAATAGTTGTATGTGCATTGGGGGTACCAGGGTAAAAGGCCAGAAAAAATAAATAGATTAAAGTGATAGTCTGTAACTCTAAATGAATTACAAATTTTAGGAAATGTGTTAAATTGACCTCCTGGCCTTAAATGTTGATATAAAATAAGTCATTTTATTAATTCTAATATTACGGGCAAGTCCCGCCTTCCCTGCTCTTAGCTATAGTTCAGAATCCACGGTGCCGTCGAGGTTAACCAATCGAGTCATGCCAAGGGCTGTCAATCATCGGCGCTGATGCTCGTAGCTGCGCGCATGCTCAGTTGTGTGTTTTCGCGGAGCCTCCGAATCAAGCCTCTATTAGGCTCTGGAACTACATGAAAACTGAACAAAGAATTCTGAACATCCGCGCTGAGGTACTTATGTATATACTGAACCTATATCCATAATCATTTATATACTGAACCTATATCCATAATCAGATCCTCTGCAGATGTGTCCTATAATGTGCAATTCATGATAATAGCACTTCCTGGTTTTCCGCGATCGCTTTTTTGTGTGCATAAAAACATATATTTTTTCATTAAAACGTTCACAAATAATTCTGAAAACTTCCGTGCATGTGTATTAATAATGTTTATTTATAATATGTTCTCTGATTAACATTTCAAAGTGTTACGGAAACGTAGGTGTAGACCAATCAGAAAGGAAGGGGGAGGGAGCCTGCGTCGTTTTTTTCAAATCAAGTACCTCTCACTCTCTCTCTTTCTGACAAACTCCAGACAATCACTTTAAAACATGGTACTTGTCGCTGGTGGTAACAGCATCAATCAATACTTTTGTTTACATTTTATTTCACTTCTAAATATTATCCTAACTTATATCTACCCCTTATGTAAGGGATAACGTATAGTACGCAGGTCATTCTACGTCATGGTGCTACGTCCCTTAGGACTTCGCTAGTGGGATATCACTCGTGACCCCCAGGTCACACGCCAGAGAGATCAA